GCTAGTTGCGTCCGGTATCATCATAGCCATCGAGACAAGCAATACTGCAATAGCACCGACAAGAATGTCGAGAACCAGAGTGAGCCAGCGCTGGATGCAAAACATCAGGTAGTACGGCCTTTGGGACTCATCCAAGAGTTCAAGAGAAGTTTCTCGGAAGGCATTTTGCCAGCCGAAGGCGCGGATGGTTGACAAGCCATCGATGGTCTCAATCAACTTGGTCAGAAGAGGAGCCTGCGCCTGGAGATCGAGAAACCGCATCTGGCGAGAAGTTCTCAGGTAGAAAGCTTGTAGACAGTAGAGAGCGAGTAAAGCGAACGGAATGACAGCTGCAAGATACTTGGCACCTATGACAATCAGGACAGCTCCTGCCAAGCAATCAAGAACAGCTGAAAGGGATTAGCTGTGTATTTTAGCTGATACGCGGGAGGAGTCACTCACCGATTGAGGTCATGAACAACGCTGTAGGAAGATCTCGGTCAATGTGAGACAAATCCTGACTGAACCTTTAAAATATGTTAGGCATCTGCAGCTTTAGAGATGAATCTGATATGATTACCTGTTGATCAAGTCGCCGGTGTCTGTTGATCCAAAGAACGACAACGGGGCCCTGTAAAGTAGTAAGCAACGATGCGCACCACAGTCTGGCAACGTGTGACCCACCTCATGACAGACTGGAGAAGTGTCCAGTGTAAGCTTTGAGAAGACTTAGGCACTATCAAAACAAACATGATCCTGTGGGCTTCTGTTAGCAGAGCCGGAGTTATCAGTGGGCAGGGAATATTCTTTGGTATTAACGTACCAAATATTGACGCCAATAACGAATAAGCCCACAACAGAAATTGCGGAGTAGACGCCGAAGTAGAAGCCTGTGTCTGATGAACCGGTCCTTGCGTCCTCTTCCGTCCAGATCTTGAGCCAAATTTCTATCAGAGGTCAGAAACCATAGTCGATACAAGTATTTGGAGGGACCATGAACTTACGAGGGAAGACTCGGAAGAAGCAGTCAAGAATCAAGGATATCGCACCGGCAGAGCCATACCACCAACCGATGGACTTCAAGTAGTACCAGTAGAGCGTAGTGTCGCCCGCCTTTCTCAAGAGGTCCTGCTCTGATTCAGCCTCTACCCCTTTGGTTTGTGGTTGACTTTGCTGTCGAGATTTTGCGACTGAAATAGTCTCAGCGTCCTTTGCATCTTTGGGCTGCGCATCCTCGAAAGAAAGGCTCTGAAGATAGGCGCTCTCCCGAATAGTGTCAAAATTGCCTTGGCTGGCAATCTGCCCGTCATCGCCCAAGATGAGGATTTGATCCGCAAATTTGAGATATTTCACTGCAGATGGTATGAGTCAAAAACCTGATTTGTGAAACTTGCAATGTGCCTCTGTGTTTCTACTTACGTGAGTGCGTCGTCAGGATCACGGTTGCGCCGTACTGGCGTACAAGGCCTCGTGGGCTGAAAAGACAGTCCCAGATGTGAGTCTGAGTTGCGTTGTCCAGTCCGCTCAACGCATCATCAACAACAAGAACAGGTTTTCTTGAGAATACTGCTCGCGCCAGAGCCTGTCCAAGCCAGTGAGCGATCGTGCGCGGTTGACAGCGAGATGAAGGATATTAACTTACAACCCGTTGCTTTTGACCTCCGCTCAGGGATTGGCCTTTGCTTCCAACCACTGTGTGATCTCCGTTTGCTAGCTGAGAGAAGTCGGGTACGAGAGCGCAAGCGTGTACCACCCTCTCGTACCAGTCCTCATCGGTCGGTGTCTCGCCGAGAATGTTTTCCTTGACGGTTGCTGTTGTCAGCCAGGTTGTCTGAGCACAATACGCTACAGGACCTTCAAGAGTCTTGACCGATCCCGTGGTCGGAAGTTCGCCGAGGAGTCCCCGAAGGAGGGTGGTCTTCCCCGAGCCAATTCTGCCAATCACGATAGTCATGGTGGAAGGGGCAATGCGGAGGTTGATGTCACGCAGAATGGGTTCCTCGTCAGCCTTGAGCCTGAACGAACCGTTATGAACTGTCGCAATATCTCTCTGCTCGGAAGATGGCTCGGGCGACGTTTTCGGCCGCATCGTACCCATCTCTATGCCACGATCAGTTCCGGCACGCCCAAGGTCGTCAGAGTGGCTTGCAGCTTGAAGATAATCAGGATTTGTGACCGTTGAAAGCCTACCCTGTTCGAGGAAGGCCTGAATCCTCTCAAAGCTTCCCAAAGATGCCACTAAGCTCGGTACCGAGGTGATGAGCTGCGCAAGAGGTCCAGCAATTAGGTCGATGATGGTCAGCGAAGTGAAGACAGTGGCGATAGAGAGTGACAACCCGGCATTGATCTTCTGCGCAAGAATGGCAAGGCCAAAAGTGACAACAGGACCGATCATTGACGGGGCGTTGCCTGACAATTGAAATGTCAGCTTGTGATGTAAATGGGTTAAGAGCCTCAAGCTTACCGAGCATGTTCATATAAGTGATGAACCGGCGATACTGTTTTGCTCTGCGCAGCTCTGCCACTCTCAGATCTTGAATCGCACGCTGAAGGAAGTCTACCATTCCTAGCATCTTCGTCTCCTTAATTGCACCAAGAACTTCCGAAGTGACTGTAATGCGCTTTTGGATTTCTTCGTTCCAAATTTTCGAGGCTCGAGGCATAAGTTTCGACAACCTCGCCATACCAATTGTGCAAGCTCAAGCCGATGTTAGATCAAAAGTATTATACCTCGATTCAAAACAGTTGCTTACCGATAATGGTTACACCCGGTCCAACGCTTCCAAGGCCAAGCTGTCTTTGAAGTAGCCATATGGCAATGCCTATCTCGATGGGATTTGCCCACACCTCATGAATGGTTTCGAACGACCTGCAGATAGTTCTCACATCGGTGCTGACCAAGGTCAATGGCGCAGACGGATCGCTGGCCTTCGCTGTGTCTAACTTGAGGTTATTGGACATGATGAGAGAAACCAAAGATCCACGGATTATCGTGATGTAACGGAAGAGCTTGTGCTGGTAGAAACCTGTCGATAGCTAACACAAGACAAGCAGTATCAGCGGAGAGAACCACGACCGAGCAGCTTACTGTAACTCACCGCGTTGCCCAGGTAGACTAGGCCCGTCGCAGCTATCAGACCGTACCCAACAGACTTGGAATCAGATCCGCGGTCTCCATCGACATATTTGATGATTCGGTTGATGAGAAACGGTTGCGAGAACTTGAATCCAACCAGGACGAGTCTGGGTACCGCTGTAACCAGCAAAGCCATCTTCGTCGTGCTGAAGATCGAGCGTAACAGGGCCCGCTTTCCATGCCCTCTTCGTTGATTCCACGCGATGTTGAGGTTCTGGAGCAGGGACTCGGACCGCATATCATCATCTATGTCGTAGAGCGTCGACGGAGATAAGGTGGCCTTGAAGCCTTTCCCTAGCAGGCTGTTGAGCCACCAAAAGAAACCGCGGCCGATGATGCCGCTCGTGGCCTCGGGGCTCAAGTGGCGCAGAGCAGCGAGGAGGAATGTGCGTTTGCCTTGCACTTCGAGAAGAAACATTGTCAACTTCATTGCCAGCGCTGCGCTGGAGACGCTGGCCAGGTTGTGCAATCCGGGAAGCAGCCATAGTGTGCGGCATTGCACAGCGTCAAAGATTAGCGAGAACGCCAGATAGACACAGATTGTGGTAGATGGTCGAATAGATCGGAGATGCTCTGCATGGCTGAGGAGAGTGAGGGCCAAGGCATCTAGAACGCCGAGAACTGCGGCAGCAATAGTGACGCGGTTGGAGAACGGTGCTTGCGTCCATAGCGCGAGCAAGGCGATTTGAAGCCCGCCAAAGACGATGCAGGTGGCGATCTTTGCGGCATTCGAGGGATGTCGCAGGACTTTGCGGCGTTGATGAAGAAGCTGCTGTAGCCGGAAAGGGAGGGCCAGAAGCAATACTGCAGATGGTCCAATATTCAGGATAGATTGTTCGAAGAGCAAGGTGAAGTCGAATCGATCGCTACATATGGTTGCAGCGGGGCCAAAAGACCCCTCGCATTCGGCGATGGTCGTGAAGTTGTCCATAGCCGCTGCGATGATTGATGAAGTTGCAGGTCGACGATTTAGGAACCTCTTGTTGGATGAACTCGCCCAGTGTTTTACTATGCGGTGCTGCCAATCCAGCCAAGGATCCCTTGATGCGCCTAGGCGGCAAGTTTGGGGTGCTATCGAAAGTTCACACGGAGTCAGGGTTCATTCTGCTTCAGGACGCAAGGAAACTTGCGAGTAGGGCTATGACTCGCAATCTGGCGCGACAATAGCGACAATGATGCTGCTAGTGCTTGAAGGGCATCAGGACTTCAAAAATTTGCTACCACAGCGCTGTGCCACTAACAACTGGACGAGCCCTGACCATCGAATCCCGGGTTGGTCACGAATTACACGTTGAATCGTTGATCTTGGTAAGCCGTACGAAAGATTTCAAGCTTGTTCGGGCGGCTGAATGCGAGTCCCGAGATTGGGGGACGAATGTAAGAACGATCACCAAACAGGAAGGTCATCTGAACATGGAAATGAATTGCAATGCGCTAAGGATGTCACTTACAAGCTCCAGGCGTTCGTGCCGAGATCCGGTTGAGTTCTCTGGGGACTAAACTGCTGCCAGACAAGCCTGTGGAAACGCGGACGTGGGTACGAGCTACGCGTCTAGCTACGAGTTTTCAGGGATCGATGAACCTTAAGTGCTGAGGCTATCCTTGCCTGGACGTGATTGTGTCGAATTCTAAGTCTTCTCGGGTCACAGAGACGATGATGACAGTCAATTACAGCCATATTTGCGGCACGATGTCGAAGTGTCACCCATTAAGGCAAGCAATCAGCCCGGAGTAGCCCGTCGGGTCAGAAAGCTTGTCTGTTAGGCGACAATTACCGAGGTTTGCATACTAGGCCAGGATGCCTTGACCTAAAACAATCGAGCGAGTCTCTGAAATCTCCACCACCGCTAGATGTAGACACGCTGCCGAAACTCTGGAAGCTCGTTTATCCATGCAATCTCATGATGTCTTCTGCTACCTTCTCGGCAGCAATAACAATTCCAGCTTGCGGATTCGCAGTGAAAATCCCATTGAGTATCCCTGCGTCAACAACGTGCAGGTTTTTCGTTCCATAGACTTGCGCGTTGAGATCAACGACGGATTTACCACCTTCGAGAGCAGAGTCGGTTCCAAGACGGGTGGTTCCAACCCAGTGATTGGCGGTACGGCCAATATCCACAGCCAACTATTCACACGATATGTTCAGCTTGATTTCATATCGAACTCCGAGAGAAAAGTAAGGTTTGCTCACCTTTTGGACGTAGTCTCGCACATCTTGACCAGGGGCGGGGTGAATCATTACAGCGCCAGGAATGGATGAAATTGCCTTGACAACTCCACTCACGGTAGTGACAACAGCCTCAAAGTCGTGATTACCTTCGTCATTGAAGTAAGGAAGTACACTGACATCCATCAAGAGGGATGGGTTGATTGTGACGCGGCCCCTTGAGGTCTTGCCTAGTCCAAGGGCAGCTGCCATGCCGGAAGTATCTGTGGCTATCAGTCGTGATCATTTGATAGCAGAGATGTGACTACGCACTGTATGTCTTGCCTGTTTGTGGTCCGCCAACATAGCCCGTCCATTGAAACCATCTCTCGATGCCATCCTCCCCCTTAACCGCATCCCAGAAGATTGGGTTGATGTTTGGGGCTGCTTGGGTCAGTATGCCTGATCGGTTGGCTGCAGGATTACTGTTAGTCAACAAAACCGAACCATCTCGCAAGGGGAGGTCTGCCATCTCACATAGATATGCTGAGGCGTCATCCGAAACGGGGTTGTTGTAGGCGCCGTTGAAGTCGTAATTGACTATGTCCGGGTGCTCCAAGAGAATGTTTGTCTAGGAATGATTAGCTTTAGTACCTATACGATGGAGGGGTCTTTAAACTAAGTGTTACGTTTACATGATCGTCCAGATTATAACCGACTGGAAGATCAATCCACTGGGCAGAGTCGATGAGTATGTCGCCTTCGGCTTTCTGGACAGTCTCTAGCTGATCTTTCGGGCCAATCCCACCTATCGAGATTGTTAGCAGTCATCTCGCCATTGAATTGAGAAGGGAACACTCACTCCGAAACAGAATCTTAGCTGAGCCAAATACTCCAGCAGAGAGAATGACTCGGCCACCAGCAGCAAGTTTGACGGTGCCATTGTAACCTCGGGACTCTACTTGCACACCAGTGACACTATCTCCCATTCTCTCCACTCTAGTGACGAGTGAGTTCGTCCAGAGCTTGAAGTTACCGCGAGCTGTTGCTGACACAAGATAGGTTTCCAAGAGCCCACCTCGCTCACCATGCTGGTAAAAATACTCTGATTGGGAAACGGTTCTTCTTTTAACATCTGGCTCATTGTTTGCCTTAACGCTGGTCCATCCGTTTTCGACGAGTCCCTTCGTTATTAGGTCGTTGGTCTGACGATTGTACAAGACACCATCTTTGGAAGGGACGTCAGTCCACGGAACACGCCTGAAGGCTCGGTCTGTGGCAGCAGACAGGTCCTTGGCCTTCCAGCCATCGGGAAACTGTGTATCCCAGTCCAAGCTTTGAGGCTACGGAATGTTAGTAACGGTCAAAGAAGACTGGATGGGAAACGGAAAAGGATGCACTGACCTTGAACCAAAGGCCCGCGTTGATAGCAGATCCACCGCCGAGAACACAGCCTGCCATGGGAACAACATCCGGACATTTGATGCCAGCGCTATCTTGCCATATGTGTCCGTAAAGCCCAGGAACGTCGAACCTTGTAAGATTGGAATTCTCAAGCCAGGCCCCTCTTTGCCCTACACACAACTGTCAGAGCATGGTACCGTAGTTAGCCCAGCGATCTTGATTGACTTACTCCCGCCCCATCGGAAAGATGATGGAGGTCCTCTTTCGATCAGGAGCACACTCTTGCCGCTAGCAGAAAGCTTATCAGCAGTGACGATTCCTCCCGGGCCACTGCCAACAACTATGTAATCATAGGTATCATCGGGGACAGTCGCAGCAAGTAGTGTCATGGATACTTGTCGAATGGTCAGCTATTTAATGTGACTCGGAATTCAAGAACGTACACTGAGTCAAAGCAAGGGCCGAAAAGCCCGAGAAGAACTTCATTATCATACCCGTCACGGCGACTCGAGGGAGACAACAAGATGCTTGTTGTGTAAGGAGAGATCTGGAAGGTGGCACACAAATCCAGGTCGAAAAAATGGAAACTCATGGCTTTCGATCTGAGTTGAATACTTAAGAATGGTTTACAGGGCCCCGGGCAGTCGGCGTCTCAAACTTGGGAATCAGGGGGCAGGAAATTATAATACCGAAATCGTCCTGGAGAGTAATGCCACTACACATGCCGGTAGTTAACTCGGTCACTTTTCAGGCAACTGTTCGAGTCTGTGTGCACTTTCCGGAGCTGTAAATTGCCGTGACATTGAAGGTAGTCGATGCACTGCCCGCGGAGACTTTAGGCGTGACAAAACAGTTCATTCCGTCAATTTGTTGTTCCATCTTGGCAAAGACATTTGGAACAGTATCGCCTGCCGTCTATGGGAAAGGGTAGGAGGAGTCGCCTTCTTGTTTCGATATATGGCCAAATCATTAGGCATTCCCGATGACTGCAGCAGCTGGGCGCTGTCCGGAAGGTCTACTGCCTCACTGCGTGGGGACAGCGTTGCTTGACAGGACTTAAATCCTGCAATTCTGTCTCATGGAATGAATATCATGTGAGATGAAATTCAAGGTATTTATCTTGTAGCGGCTGATACTCAAGGACCGCGGCGTTGTATGTCTCCGAGGTCCTGATAGAGACTAAGCACGGCCAAAGATCGAGACAATCACTGTAATACTACTTATGCGGCCATGACACATTAGGCAGCAATAAAAGTCTGTCGAAGTGGAGTGAATCTGATGCTTGCATTCATGAAGCTCCCTCAAACATAAAACCACCCACAAGCACATGGAAATAGACATTTGGACACTGACCGATTTCCTTTTCAAACGCTCAGCTTCGCCATGTTGAAAGGCACCAAGGCAGGACTTCTCACATCGGCCCTACACTTTCTGATGGCATAAGATATGAACCCTCACCTATCTTGGTAAACAAAAGCTTGGATAACTACCAGGAGCAGCGAAACCTTCATGGTACAAGACCAATCACTCGTCAGACCCGTCAAAAACTTCAAAATGAAAGGGACGAGACTCGAACTCGCGCGGGTTGCCCCACCAGGAAACAGATGTTAAGCTGACCTTAACCTGGCGCCATAACCAACTCGGCCACCCTTCCAATTGTTGGATCTTCACCGGGGTCGTTTTGCAGCATATTCAGCAATCACTTACGTTCGGTGTAATCACACTCTCGGGCAATCTACAGAGGCATGGATTGCTGAACAAGAACGCGCCTGCAGCGATCGGCCCGCGACTTGAACTCCTGCATACAAGCAAATGCCATACATTCAGACATTCCGCGCACAAGTCCTCTCACAGCTGGAGTGCCAGCCTTATTTCAGGGATAGGAAGGATACTTTTGTTGGACACTGAGAATATCTGTGAATGAGTTGAGCGCTGGGTATGTTTGCCCTGTCCAGAGCCCCGTCGCACGGTCCAGCGCTACTAAGCCGCTTACTACAGCCCTATGATGGCCTGGATCACGCCGTCAAGCCCTGGAAGTCCCCAGACTTGGCGCCGTATTCCCCGGAGAGCTATAGCGTGACTTGTTGTACTCGGATTTTGAGAAGAAGTGTTTAGCAGGAGGATGTCCCTGAATTAGCAGGGGAGCAAAGAAGCAGATGGCTTGATTCTCACCAACTTGGCATTGACGTTAAGAACGAGGTTGGACACCGACATGGAGATCTCAAACCTTATTTCAACAAAGCGTGGAGGCGGGCTGTAGCCGAGCCGACATAAGAAAGCAACAGTGAAGGTTTGAGACATCTGCTTGTCATCAGACGAAGCGCGCAGGCACGCGGCGTCCAGCCGGCTGGCTCACTACCTACATGGTCCCGACATCAGCAGACGGCAACATCCTCGATCACCGCAAGTGCGCTAATCTTTCCCATTCCTGCGGCACGTGTTCTAGACTGAAGCCATTTTGTTACTGTTGACATCTATTTCCGTTTTCAGTCAACACCTGATTGCACCCACACATCTCTGTAGCTCCGCTTAAAGACAAGACAAATTCTCGGAAATCTAGAGAGGCGTGAGCGGCAGCACTAATTTTGTAGATCCGATCTTGGAGACGATAGTCATGCCATCTCCTCGGGCCGGCCGCATAGATCGGACAGATCCGGCCGAAGAATTCATTTCGACTCCTTTTGGATGAGTGAAGTGACAGGCTCTAATCCGCGATGACCGGAAACGGAACATATGGAACGCAGATTGGAGTAAAGCTAGAAGTCCAAACTTCGTATCGAGGATCCGCTCTAGAGAGCCTGAGAATGTTCCCATGACCGCCGCATGCATTCGCAAGCGATGGCCGCCAAAGTAGCACCAAAATCTCCAACCAGAGGCTACCCCAAAAGTTGTGAGGTTTAAGTATCATGTCATCCACACTGAAATTGCGTCAATTCTATTAGCCCCCAACGTAGACTGCGGCCTTCTTTGCTATAAGGTCAATCAACATCAATACTCTGTCGTTTTTGTAAAGAATGGTCAGACTTTCCATTGTTGGACTCCTGTCCTTGGCTGGAATAGCTGCAGCGGCCACCTCTCCAGACCAGACCTGCGGAGGTTCCAATAGTTACACCTGTCCAGGATCTCAATGCTGCAGTCAATACAACTGGTGGTAAGGTTAACCCCTATGATGATAAACGAGATTGCGAAGAATTACCAAAGCTGACCTGGTATACTAGCGGAACAACTGACGCACACTGCGGGACAGGATGTCAGTCCAAGTTCGGTAAATGCACGACTGGCTCCAGCAGCAGCGGGAGTGGCAGCACCAGCACCAACGGCAAGGTCAGCTCGGATGGCACATGTGGCGGCACTGCGGGATATACCTGTAAGGGAAGCACTTTCGGAACCTGTTGCAGCCAGTGGGGATACTGCGGCAACACAGATGCCCATTGCCTCAACTCCTGCCAGTCAAAGTTTGGTGACTGCAGCTCCGTCACCAACGGTGGCAAGACGGTCAGCCAAGATGGAACCTGCGGTGGAACGGGTGGAAATACCTGTCGAGGTAGCAACTTCGGTGACTGCTGCAGTCAGTGGGGATACTGTGGCTCGTCTACCGATCACTGCAGCACCGGCTGCCAGTCATCCTTTGGAACCTGCTCTTCTTCCTCAGGCGGAGGGGCTGCCGCCTCTTCCTCAGCAGCGCAACCTGCATCCACTGGCGTCAAGACAAGTCCAGACAACACTTGTGGTGGCTCTAATGGCTATACATGCCCTTCCGGATTGTGTTGGTAAGTTGTAGACGATAGCTCTTATCATCTCACTTCATCAGACTACTGACAAGCCATCTCATAGCTCGAAGAATGGATACTGCAACACCGGCGACGACTTCTGTGGCTTTGGGTGTCAGACCTCCTTCTCACCGGGAACGTGTGCGACCTGCCCTGGCTCAGCTTGCGGTGGTACGGTAACGAGCAACCCGACTTGCTCCGCAAACAACGGCTACTGCTGGACATTGAATTCAAAGAAGTTCCAAATCGTTTGCGGAAGGCTTGCCTCCGGAGACTATCTTGGCTACGTTGATGCCACAAGCTTGGGCGATTGCATTTCCAAGTGTGCCGCAAACTCGGCTTGTGTTGCTGCTTCTTTCTATCAGGGCAGCAGCACGAGCTGTAGCTTGCTGAGTAGTTATCAAGGATCGGCTTATGGCAACTCGGCAGGTGGTCAGCAGAACCATGCCTACGTCCGCGGTCCCAGCTGCGGGTGAAGGCGTGTTGTGAACGTGCGGCTTGACCACGGCTTACAGTCACCATCAGGAAGCCGAAACTGCGCGGCAACGGTAGATGATCCCTGTAAGACACGGAGTTTTCGTTAGAAAACACCATGGACCTGGATTATTATTTTTTTTTCAAAGAAGGCCCTAGCTTTAGACTCAATTACGACGAAGTAGGAATACCAGACACAAGCGTTATTCAGCCAGCTGCAAAAACTGGCTTTCAAGAGGCCTTATGTACGATGCGGAACCTGCATCCTACGCGATCTGCGAGACGGGCCAGCGGTAGAACACGTATACGCCTGTCAAATATTCGGGGAACACGTTAAGCTGAGAAAACGGATCGTCTGAGCTCTTCTCTCAAGCTGGACAAAGGGCTATACGTAGATCCTAACCACACAAAACTTCTATTTGTATCCCCCATCTTCTCTACCAAAGCGCTACCTCAACGCAACATGCTGCTATGCTGTTACCTCAACACCGTTCATCCGGCCACTGGCTCGCCAGTCCTCCAGGAATTTTACGTAGGCATTGATACCATGTGGAAACGGCGCTCCTCTGGCCAACTTCATTTGTGCCTCGAGTGGGGCTTTTTCGCCCTCATTGTTCATGTAGCTTGGTGTGCATATAGACAAGCTAGAGAACCAAGCCGCATGTTGCATAATGAAACCGACGTATGCTTCTTCCCCCTCCAATGTGCTCTCTATGACAACCTTATCGGTACTTTTACCCGCGCGCTTCATAGCTTCGACTACCATGTATGCGCAGTGTTGAGAGATGACGTCCTGGGCGTAAGCAAAGTTTGCCGCGGCGCCGATCTGCAAAGGGCCGGTCAGGAACAGGTTTGGAAATCCTTTGGTGAGCACGCCGTGGAGGGTAGACGGGCCCTTGCTCGACCATTTCTCGGACAGGAGCTCGCCGTTCTGGCCCTTGATGGTCATGTTGGACCTGCTTGATGGCTCGGCCATGTCTGCTGCGGGGGGCCTGTATCCTGTGCTCAGCACAATGACGTCGAGGGGATAGTCTGTACCGTCGACCACTAGTGAGTTCTTGGTGGCGTGGTCGACTCCCTTGCCGTTTGTATCAACGAGGTGTACGTTGGGTAGGTTGAACGCCGGGAGGTAGTCGTCATGGAAGGTCGGTCGTTTGCACCATGATGGGTACCACGGCTTCAGAGCCTCAGCAACTGACTTGTCCTTCACAATCTCCTCAACTCGTCGTCGAATCCTCTCTGATCTCGGGGCATCCAGGGCAAGAAGACTGCCGATATGGCCGGGAATATCTTCCAATCCAAGAGGCTTCTCGTGTGGTGCGCCGACAAGACCTTTGTAAGTCTTAATCTTCGTCCAACCATCATCTACCAAGTTGTCTTCTGCCTCGCCGCCAGAAACAAGGTTATTGAAGTTGTCGAGGCGACGCCTCTGCCAGCCTGGGCCGTCGGCAATCTTCTTCCACTCTTCTGGATCAGTAGGCCTCTGGCCTCTCTCTTCTACAGATGACGGCGTTCTTTGGAAGACATAGAGCTCCTTCGCCCACTTGGCGAGTTGTGGAACGAGTTGAATGGCGGTTGCGCCAGTACCAATGATGCCAACACGTTTTCCCTCAAGACCAGTAAGCTGGACATTCTCGAGGTCCTCCGGGTTTCCACCAGTGACTTCGTAGTTCCACCGCGCAGTATGGAACATGTCACCCTCGAAAGCCTCGAGGTTCTTGGCCGCTTTGGGATGGTTTAAAACGCCGTTGGCGAGAACGACGAACTGTGATCGAACCGTCATTGTGATGGGCGACTCGTCCGGGCCGCGGACCTGCTCGATAACCACGATCCATCGCTTAGCGTCCTCGTCCCACTCGTAGCTCTTGATCTGCGAGCGAAATACACCCTTATCCGTCAGGTCCCATGTCTCTGCCATTCGATCCGCATGAGCTCGCAACTCGTGGCCATACGAGTATCGGTGCTTCGGAATATAGCCCGTCTCCTCGAGGAGTGGCATGTAGGTGTAGGATTCAACATCGCACATGAGACCTGGGTACCGGTTCCAGTACCATGTGCCGCCAAAACCACCAGCGGCATCGACAAGGCGAATATCCTCGGGCTTGAAGCCAGCTTGGATGAATCGAACCGCAAACAACAGGCCTCCGTAGCCGGCGCCAAGGATGATGAACTTCACCTCGTCGCCATCCTTGAGGCTCGGCGTCTGGGCGTTGAGCTTTTCGTGATCGACCCATGGGTCTTGGGCCAGCTTGCTGAACTTCGCGTCCGTCTCCATCTCGATGTATTGTGCGTTGCCGTCAGACCGCTGGCGCTTTTCCTTCTCCTCTGTGTATTTCTTATTGAGGGCCATGAAGTCGGCCGCGGCAGCCCCAGCCGCGGTGTCTGTCGTGATCTGTGGTGATGCGGCCATGTTGACGTTTGACTTGCAGGTCAAATTGAGGTGTAGTTGAGGTAGGTGAGTCTGCTCGACGACCTTTACATCATCCTCGAGGAGGCGAATCGTCTAGTTTTTAGTCGCCAAAATATGCGGGCACATGTCCGTTGACGACAGTCCAAGCGGTGTCCTCAAACAGCTCTAGTGACATATTCCATGCTCGCACTTGTCATCTGGTCTCAATTGGGTTCCCTTCGAAGAGGGCCACGCATCCCCGCATACCGCAAGTTTCCAATCCGGTGCGTGTTTGCGGGTCGTCGTATCAGAGCTTCATTCTATGGATTAGTCGGGGAGTGCGATGAGCCCGACGAGCCATTACTCGCTTCACCAGGAGGGACCAGTGCCTCCAGATCGACACAAACGTATTCGTATTCGTTCGTCGCATTTCTAGTGCAACACAGCAACGTCGCTCAAAGAAAGATGCGGTAGTTGATGGTGGATCTTGTCCTCTGCCGGACTAAAACGATCTCAGGATCTACATAGACCCGCCAGGCCTCGAAGGGTCCGGCTCCTGCTCCGCTGCATGGGTAGCCGTTGCGGAGAAGCTGTCGTCCAAAGATGGCCAGATATGACAAACTCCGCGTGCTTTGGCGTCAAACACTATCTGCATGTGTTAAGTGGGTTATGGTAGCTGAGAGTCTTGTTATAGGTCAAACTTCAAGGAAGTTGGAGACGAACCTGCGTGTCTCGTCTGGGCCCTGGCGGGTGGCGCATCTGCTGCATCATGGATCCATGGTGTCATTGTCTAACGACTCGATGCACGTTGCTCCGTGCAGCACGCTCGGTTTCGAGACTCCAACGCGACTGGCCCACCGCTACGAGACCGAAACCGATCAGACGACTCCATGAACGGGTAGTTTCCGCTAGACTGCGCGGGAGCGACCGCCGTGTGCCACAACCAGCTCGCCTGGTGTCATAATTGACCTGCAATAGCATAGATAACGTAATGACTGACGGGCGACGTTGACGTTTATGCGCTTCTCGTCTCCAGACTTAAGTCTCATAGTGATGTGGGATTAAAGCTAGGAATAAGCTTGCATCAACTCAAATTCAATGCAGCGGGGTATGGGATGGCCGAGCCTATGTTGACCACATGGTGGCGACAGATGTAAGTTAGTCTGTGTATGAGCTTGAGGCTGGTGTCTGAAGCACCGATTGACCAGGTTTTCATTCATTCTTGCAACCATACCATACGGCGCGCATTGGTGTAGTCATGGCTATGGACCAGATGCTCCAACCAGTGCGGTAGAATCAAGATAAATGTTACCCCTCTCGATGCCAATTGACTGAGTGATCCGAGAGCTTATCACAATCCTAGGCGAGGAACATAAGTAGGTAAGGATGTACGCGAAGCACTTAACTCAAAATTGGACGCAACTGAAAATCGACGGCTCGCGACCTAACCACCGACTGGCATTTCTACCCACTTTCGTACATGCCCATCGCACTACTAGTGGCCCCCTCTTCACCTCGACCCCCTGACTTTACCCCTCAAGCGAAGCGAAGGATTTATCGAGGAACCAGATATCTGATAATCCAGGCTGGCGCATCCTCGCCAGACCAATTCGCTTTTGTGCTTGTTTCAGTGAATGAATGCATCGACCGAAACATCACATACACACGGAAAATTCCTGCAAGCGAGTTCAAGTCATCCCCTACATGTCCGCCCACTATAGCTGACCTCAACTTCAGCATCTCGAGATCATGGCTTCCGTCACAACGAATGAATTGCATCTTCCTGACTATGATGATCTTCCGCCTGTCGGGGGTATGCCTAAAGGCTGTGCCTGGGGGCTGTTCGACAAGGATGGGAAGAAGGACCTCTTTGGAACCTTGAACTTACTCACCCCTTCAGTTGTGAAGGCAGCCGGCGCTGAAATACGGGATGGCGTGTCCATCTCATTGAAGTGAGATGCCCATATTACCTAGTTACTTAGAGCGAACGTCCCATGGCTGACCGAACGCGATATAGCTGGCCTCTAGATAGCATGAACAAGCTGGCTATCCCAGGACGCAAGCAATCGGTTCATAAGGTGCACACACTGCAAACTGCCGGACTCAGCCAAGGGATTGGCTGGGATGACGAGCTGGAGTTCAACACGCAAGGCAGCAGTCAGTGGGACAGCCTTGTCCACTGGCAGCATCAGCCGACGGGACTCGCCTACAACGGCTTCAAGCCAACTCAAGAAGAACTTTCGGCGACGTCAACAGCGACAAATAAGATGCCCACCATCGATCACTGGCATGAGCGAGGTGGCGTAGTGGGCCGCGGGGTCCTGGTCGACTACAAGGCATACGCCGACGCGAAGGGGACAGACTACCATCCCATGGATGGCTACCGCATCACTATCGAAGATATTGAGGCCGTAGCCAGGCATCAAGGCGTAGAGTTCAAGCAGGGCGATATCTTCTTGCTTAGAACAGGCATCACTGAGATCCTAGATAAGCCTACGCCAGAGGATTTTGCAAAGTTGGGGCAGTACAAGTTGTCCGGTGTGCATGGCACAGAGGAGACGGCCAAGTGGTTCTGGAACAAGCACTTTGCCGCTGTTGCCGGCGACTCCAATGCCTTCGAGGCATTTCCACCTGTCAAGCCAGACGGAACTCTGGCAGATATGACTGATCTTGGTACGTCATTGTGATGAGCTGAAAGGAAACAATGTCAGAACGAGACCGGCTAACTCTTACTGCAGTTCTCCATCCCTACTTCTTGAGTCTATTTGGCATGCCCATCGGTGAGCTATGGGATCTCAGTCGCCTGTCAGCATACTGCCAAAAGACAGGAAGGTACTCCTTCTTCTTGACCTCTGCGCCTATGAATGTCTCCTGTCTCGTAGGATCGCCGCCAAATGCATTGGCCATATTCTAGAAACTTGACAGGAATTTTGGAAGCGCCGTGGATCTCACCGAAAATCAAGGACTATACGAGTGTTGAGAGCGAAATGGTTAGGCACTATCATTATAGAACACAGTGACATGGCGAAGAACATGACGGAAAACAACCATTATCATTAATAAGCTTATTGGTATCAAATATCATTGACGCATCATGAAGCGCAGGTTCTCCATACACTGCGTTTATTCTAGCAGGCGAAGTTCCCAGTGTTGTATCCCGGCCATTCCCAATACCAAACACCAGGGGCATCGCGGATATTCAGACCATGGCGACATTCACCAACTCCATCGAGCTCTCCTTACTGCATAGCAGCATAGACGAAGCCGGCAGCAGCGGCAGCAGCAACAGCCATTCCAGTCTCTCTCGGTGCGGCGCCCTTGCTGGTGCCAGTCGCCGCCGCCCCACCCTCGCTGGTGAGCGCTGCCAGCTTGGTGCTGCAGTAGCCTCCAGAGGCCAGAAGGCTCTTGACCTCGGCCGCGATGATGGGGATATCGGTGCACTCATGCCACACGGCGCGCATCTCCGACATATGGGCGGTCTGCCATGACTCAACGGCGTTCGACCATGAGGTGTACTGGGCGCTCATTGAGTCTGTGACGGAGATGGTGCTGCAAGGGTCTACCGTGCCGTTGGCAAGGGATGCCGTGGCGGCCCACTCTTGAAGGGCGAAGTTCGGGGTGGGAAGGGGGTCGCTGCCGGTGACGGCGCTGGCGAAGGCGTAGACGGCGTTTGTACACTCGGGGGTGCCGCGGGCTTCAAGGACCTTGATGATCTTGGTCGGTTCGATTCTCTTGTGGAGCTGGAGGTGGACGTCGCCGGCGGCAGCAGCAACAGTTGCGGCGAAAGCGCCGAAGATGACGGTAGCAACGCGCATGTTGATTCAGTGACAAGGACGAAGTAGGAGGATTTTTTCAATGGGTTGAGCTTGATAGGTGCTGTTCGAAAGAGACAGAGTCCTCAACCTGGTGATTGATGCAATTACAGATCGTGGGCATCCATTTGCAACCGGAACAGAGCAACTATTTATGATCGGGAGACAAGCAACAGTCTCAAATCATCGCGGGCTGATGCCTACACGCAACCAAAGGTACCCTTGCCCGATGACTCCAGCGAGGAAATGAATTTTCTAGGGCAAGCTGGAATCGAGGTCAACCAGTTTCCCTTCCAGGTTAACTCAATGGTACCCGAAAACATTAGTCTGGACAAGCTTCTGACTGTGCCGCCCGGCTGCCTACAAAGCGCATCTTGGCGCTGATTGCGGGTTGAAATCTGAGCCGCTTGATAGGGCCGAAGAGCGCCGTTGGCCGTTGTCAGACCCCGTAATGAATTTCCGCTCTCGACCGAACACCCTGGTCCTGTCAGCCTAGGTTACCAGCCAACAAAGCAAGCGTTTACACGGCCTTCGGGCGGTGAGGCAGATCACGAGGAGAACCTCGGGGGCTGAATACATGTGGCACTGCCCTGTCATCTCGCGCGACGGTAAGTTGTCAGACGGCCATTGACGAGAATGCTGTGCCGTTCGTGTTATTCACCCGTAAGCCATAGGTAAAGCGTGGGTGAGTGCCACAGCCTGTGTTACACCAAGGAAGAATGTAAAGAAATGGCATGAATTGGATTGGCAGCTAATTTTGGCCTAGACCGTTAGGATTGGCCTCAATGCTTGCCAGGATTGGACTTGAAGCGGACCTGTGTCCGTACCTGCATAAGCTACGGTACCGAGGCCCTCAAGCCAAATCCGCCATTTTCTGACTTACGTGCATGGGTGTTTACCAAAGTCCCTCATCTTTGGAAGTGGGTGGACTTTTCCTAAAACCAATCAAGCCGAATGCCAGGTACAGTCGTTAGGTAATAATTGGGTCTGAAAGAACAATTGGCGATGTGGCAGATGCTGATGTCTGGTGGTTTCGATTAAGATAAGGTAGGTGGGTATGACGATGGTGGGATGCCGACCTGAGCCATCCTGGCAAAGCCCAAGAGCTCTCATGGTACCCAATCCAGCATGGGTCAAGTTCAACGATAGTACGGATTAGGTGCCCCAAGAATCCTCACGAGTGTGCTTATGCATGTGAACGCATGCAAGTCAACAGAAAGTCTGGAGGTTTCTTTACATATCACAAGACGGCTCCCGAGGGTGTCGGCAATGTTTGGATCAAATGGAGATTGCATGTCGCCAGGAGTATTGTGGGTAGTGTTGAAATCGCGTTCCCCCTGCACGCAGTGAAGTTCATGCAAGAAGTCTTGAAGTTGAAAATTGTATATTTTCCGCGGAATTGAGTCACACCGAGGACTCTGGTGGCTTCTCGGTCCCTCCACGTATGTTCTACCTGAGAGTAATATGGTCATGGCTATCGAGTGTTGGACCCCAAAGACTTGGCAATTCGGCATCTCAGCGCCCCAGAAAGAACTATTGACAGGATGCGCCACGGTAAGTCAACATGCCAGGGACGAGTATTTCCCTTGAAATATTTTTCGAGAGAATACCCGGGGCTTGTCTTCACGGCCATCAAGTCGTTGTGTTTGGGAGTAGCATTACAAGTATTGGAAGAAGCACATACCATCTCTGTTGCTGTCAACCTCTCGTCGCGTTAACTCTATTTAGGATATCCCAGTACCACTGACGTCGCTGAGGATGGTGGGGTATGAGTGGGCAGCATGACGCGGGAAAGGTCTGTGGAAATGCCAAACTATTGGGCGAATTGACTAGTTTCTGAGTTTTTCGGTGGGAACAACGGCGGAGGCCCCACGCGTAGATTTTGTCATGCAGATCGAACCCTAAAGCTTGCTCGGAACAATTGCACACAGAACTTGATCCAACTTCGCGACCTGCCGTCGCTGGCTCCGGCATCTCGAGTTTTTCCGTCCCTCTACGACGAAGAGCATATCCGACTCTGCCTAGCAGCTATTTTGAGCTGTGTTGCTCAGCACTTGTCATAGCCGCATCAACGCTAACATCGTGTACCGCCAGCAGTCCTCCAAAATGGCGCATCAGAACGGTGGAAACACAGTCTTGCTGACCGAGGAAGAGGCTCAGCGGATTCGGACCACTGTAAAAGAGACACAGAAGAAATGCTCAACGCAAAAGGGCAACGCCAGAGAGTTTCGGGATGCTCACGCTACTGTCAGCCAGGCGACTGGTACCTCACTCATGATGGACATGGGTCAAATGACTGGACAGGGTCAGAAGGACACAATCCCAGCTCTTGGTGTTGGGCAGGCCTACCCACCCAGCACCGCATCCCTGGATGAACTCAAGCCCATGGCATTTTCAGAACTCACATTGGAGACTCATCACCGTGGACGTTCTTTGACAGTGCAGCGTGCGAGGCGGTGTCCCGTGGTTGCTCTCGCTGCCCGCTCCTGGACTGTTGTCCAAGATGAGGAAGAGAAGGAGACGGAACGTTTGGAGATGGTCCTGCATAAAACAACAGACGGCGAAGATACACTTGAGTCGGCAAGGCGATTCATCATCAAGGAGCCGTACTTCACACTGACGGAAGAGGGTGAGGCTACCCTGCGGATCGACCACCCCTCCGATCTCGTCATCATTAGAGAGGAGATCGTGAAAGGCAGCTTGAGCGAGGTCGAGGATGGAACCAAGGGGGACGAGATTGCAAAGAAGTGCAAGGACAAGGGTAACGCGGCACTGCAAAAGAAGGACCTCCCTCTTACTCGGACAAGTTACAGCCAAGGACTCAAGGTTGCCAGGCAAGAGCCCGTCCAAAAGACGAACCCGGACATCGCAAGAGACATTGCACGGAACCGAGCTCACGCGCATCTGCTTATGGACCGACAAGACGAAGTCATCGCCGACGCCAAGGCTTCTCTCATTGGTGCCGACGATCAGAAGTCCAAGGAACTCGACAGCAAAGCCTACTTCCGCGCCGGCAGTGGTGCTTACAACCTAGGCCACTTTGAAGAGGCCAAGCAGTACTTTGAAAAGGCCCACGAACTCGCACCTGCGGAGAGAGGCGCGGCAGTCTATCTGCGCAAGGTGGAGATGCGGCTTCGCGAACAGGAAAAGGGATCGTACGACCTGCAGAAGATCAGGGCCAACCTCACCAGAGTCTCACCACGGGCCGACGCGGCAACCTTCACTGCGAAGACTGAGGTCAAGGATAGCAAGGGACGAGGCCGGGGCTTGTTCGCTACCTGCGATATTGCTGCTGGTGAAATAGTCATGGTCGAGAAGGCTTTCTGTGTGGTCTGGGGTCACGAGAGCGAGGTTTTGACCGTAATGACCTACGATGTCCGCGATGACAAGATTAGGGTGGCACCCGTCGGCCTGACCAAGGCTATCTCTCAGAAGCTTCTTAGGAATCCTTCCCAAATCGCAAAGGTCCTGGACCTTTACGGAGATTATCAGGGTGAGGGCAAGGCCACGTCAGAGACTCCAGAGGGCCCGGTGGTCGACGTCTTCCGGATCCATGACATTGTCTCTCGCAACGCCTTTGGACCCGGCGGCCAGTATGGAGAGGAGGGCGCGAGGAACGCAAGCACCGGTCTTTGGGTCTGGGCAGCATACATCAACCACTCCTGCATCGCCAACGCCAAGAAGGACTACGTTGGCGACCTGATGGTCCTTCGTGCCCTACGACCAATCGCCAAGGGTGAGGAAATCTTCCACAGCTACGACGAATCGAGCAACTACGAGGCGAGACAGAAGGCTCTCATGACAACGTGGGGCTTCGAGTGCAACTGCGCGCTTTGCGCTGGTGAAAAGACCGACGACGCCAAGTTGCGCCAAAAGCGGCAAATGTTGGTGAACGACGCAGATGACTTTGTTTCGACGACGCATTGGACCAACGCGAAGAGGATCACCATTTCCAAGGCTCAGCGTCTAGCGAAAGAAATCGACGCGACATACGAAGACAAGAAGTATGAGGGTGTTCCTCGTCTGGCATCAGAGAGGGTTCGGGAATGGCTCACAAAGGCAGCTCCCCGCAAGTGAGCATGAAGGCCCATAAAATTGCGATTTTGGATAGACTCATCGGTTTCGTTACGGACGAGAATAGCAGAATCATCGAATTGCCTGCATTAGACATAGACCTTTACAACTGAAAGGCCGTATCAGACCACAATCTACGGCTCAAGCTGAGCGGATGTTCACACTAGCCACAGCGATACTACGACCTCTTCTCGATATTGATGGCGGATGCTTTCATAGCTCTGGAAGTATAAGTCAGTCTATGATAGACGGCAGAGGCGATCGACTTGCTTGCGCGATGCTAGAGAGCCTGGCGGAATCTCGGCATATAAACAACAAAGCAACTAGGAATTGAAGTCATCTCAACACCACGCGCCTCAGATATCTCTCCTTAAGTTGACTTTGTCAGTCGATCAATGAGAAGTCTGGAACTCAGGCCTCTTTATTCGACATCCTGTATTGTGATGTTCTGATCACGTTACGATATATTGGAGCTGTGCTTTTTGGGGAACGGCAGGGCTCTGACTCGTCCAGGGCGGAACCGCATCGGCTCTGCGGAACCGCAACTCCTGATGGTGTACCTTGTCCCCAACGCAACAACAAGGGAACATCGTCCCCCATGATCAGCGAAGATGTCCAGTTAGCCGATTGCGGGGGAATACTCTTGCATTTAACAGGCTTTCCGTGAAGTTGGTCCTGTTTCCGTGCTTGCCGAGACGAACCACAGACTCAGAATCAGGTGCTTCCCCTCTTCTGCAGGCAATATCCCCACATCAACCCCAGACGTCACGGAATGTCAGCCCATCAGCTCACAGCTTGCTCGTCACTCATATGATCTGACAATCCCCAGTCCAGAGCCTCGGGACCGTTTGCCAATGATATTTACTGAGCTAACATCCAACTCCGTCATTGTGTGATTGCCTTATACCTGTCTGTCCTGAAATATTATATAATTCACTTCGATCATTTTGAATCGCCAGTAGACAAAGGATACCTTGCATTATGGCTGCAACTTCACGAGCTGCCAGATCCTTTTTGCTTCGAGCTTCAAGATCAACATTACCTGCACTGGCAACTTCGAGCCGAGCGACTTGCATTTCCCCAGCCTTCACTCACACAAACTTGAGCCCTGCCGGCTCGCTATTGATAAGACATCTGTCGACGATGAAGGCCCTCGTCTACGACGGTTCAAACTCAGTGTCATTGAAGGATAAACCTCTCCCCACCATCTCAAAACCAACCGATGTCATCGTCAAAGTCACCAAGACAACAATATGTGGCACTGATCTCCACATTCGCAAGGGCGACGTAGCGACATGCCAGCCAGGCACCACATTGGGTCACGAAGGTGTAGGTATCATCCACTCAGCGGGAGCTTCGGTCACACGATTCAAGGAAGGAGACCGAGTCCTCATCTCATGCATCTCCAGCTGCGCGACGTGTGAATACTGCCGCCGGGGCATGTACAGTCATTGCACGTCCGGTGGGTGGATTCTCGGGAATACCATTGACGGCACCCAGGCCGAATATGTCCGCATTCCCCACGCGGAATCCAGTCTCCACCCGATCCCGGACGGCGCCGATGACTCCTCACTGGTGATGTTAAGCGACATCTTCCCGACTGGACTCGAATGTGGTGTGCTGAACGGAAAGGTACAGCCGGGCGGTACTGTCGCTATTGTCGGCTCAGGTCCGATCGGTCTAGCGGCTATTATCACGGCTCAGATGTACTCCCCGTCTCAGATCATTGCCATCGATATGGACCCTAAGCGACTTGATGTTGCAAGGCAATTTGGCGCAACCGAGACTATTGACAGCTCCAAGGCAGATGCTGTCGCCAAGGTTAAAGAGTTGACGGAGGGCAAGGGCGCTGACTCGGTCATTGAAGCGGTGGGAATTCCCGCCACCTTTGATCTCTGTCAGAGCCTGCTCGCACCTGGTGGTGTTCTAGCAAATGTGGGAGTTCATGGAACCAAGGTTGACCTTCACCTCCAAAATCTTTGGGACAAGAATATCTGTGAGTTCAAAATATCGAGCTGTTGAGTGATCGAAATCGTCAAAGCCAATTCTAATTCATCATACAGCAATCACCACTAGACTTGTGGACACAATAACGACACCAATGCTTTTGAAGCTTGTACAGTCTGGCAAATTGCAACCTTCGCAACTTATTACTCATCGTAAGAATCTCTACTCAGTAGCACGCAACATGTCATGAGAACATGACTGACAGGAGCTTCAGACTTCAAGCTTGGTGACATGGAGAAGGCGTATGATACCTTCGGAGAAGCGTCTAAACATGGCGCTTTGAAGGTTGTGATTGATGTGGATTGAGACTTCGGAAACCACAGGTTTCGCTCAACGTTGATCCCGCGAAAAAGCCTACATCCTGACAGATTGAGAGCCTGAGGGAAGATGCGGAGGTTCGAATGTTGATAACGGTTATCTGACAAGAACAGAGCTGTTGTACATGATTATTTGAACTAATCTGGGGAAGAAGATTCCCCTCACAAATGGACGGGTACTGGAGTTATACCCCGATTGAAGTTGCCAAGCCTGTAAAATATCAAAATATCAAAGTATACCATCTGCACCGATGCCGTTTGTCAGTGTGATTGTCAATCAAGGAGACTGAAGACTCATATTAAAGTAGTTGTCTCTTTGTTCTTCGCAAAACCCAATCATTGGCGACAAACCACGTAAGTATGTAACGGAACTTCATGTTGTATTCAAACGTATCATCGGAATGAATGTTTGATTTCAATATTTCCATCGCACCGATAGCCGCACACCTGGGTCGTATCAAACGTCACGCGCACTTTGAAGCCACAATAATCCATGCCATGCCCATAGAACAATCGCGTGATGCACGTTATCCTGCCCAGCTACAACACGTGTACCTAATGTAGAGATTGCAGACATTGGTTTACTGTTCATGGGGTTATCTCACCTTATCAAACCGGCGACTCTGCGAGATAGGCATGGCCAAATTCGGAAACATATTGGACCACTTCTTTGGCATCCAGATCTGCAACCTCATTCAGTGCACGTCGAGTCCACCAAAGGACCTGCATTATCTAAAGATGCACGTCTTACCGTGCCTCCGGGTTCAAGTGGAGGCATTCCCCCCACGGTCAAACGGCCGGAAGTGAATCATCGCGGGGCCGGCTTGTGGCTTCACGTTGCATCGGACGCAGAAATCCTCGCGCGTGCACGGCCTCCTTGGGCAGTAAATCTCCAGAACTTAGATACCGCATTGATAAGACTGCTTGGAAAGGTGGCATTCGCAGCCAACTAATTTGCGCCTAACACATGCTTCGAGGGGCTGGCTTAGCAGTCCAGGACCATCTCCTACCCTCGTATGGTTTAGCGCCGGCATGGATGAGGCCTCAAAGTTTGGAAAAGGGCCCGATGTCCATGCATCACTTTGATGGTCTACCAGCCCGCCTCGTAGGATTTGAACCGGCAGAAAAGGAGGTGGTAGTGTAGAATTTTCAGTCATTGGAAGAAAAGCAGAATTTTGATCGGCTGGTATATCAATGTCGAGGCACCGCTGGTGCTCTTGATGGTCTCCCGTATGGGCCGTGCCAGCAACCATCATGACAAACACAACTATCACGTTCGATATTCCGGGCACGGTGCAGCTAGTCGACACACAAGGCGTCCTCGACGTTAAGCATGGCTCGGATCACACCAACATCGTCCTTGTTCCACAACCAAGCAGCGACCCGAACGATCCACTATCATGGACGCGAAAGCGCAAGACATTCAACATCTCCTGGGTCATGACATGGTGCTTCTTCGGTGCTGCCATCATATCCGGCCTGTCTCCCGCCTACCTACAGATCGAAGCAGACACCGGCATTTCTGTAGCAGACCTTAGCACTGGCAATGGCCTCATGTTCCTCTTTCTCGGCTGGGGCACTCTGCTCACCCAGAACTTCGCCCTCAGCTACGGAAGGCGCCCGACTCTCGTTTATTCGATGGTCGCGATGACCTTTATCAGTCTCTGGACTGCCTACGTCAAATCTCGAGCCGAGTTCTTTGTAAATCGCATCATCATTGGCATTGTCTCTTCGCCAATGGAGACTCTTATCGAAGTCATAATTGACGACCTATATTTCGTCCACCAACGAGGCTTCTACATGGGGATCTACAGTTGGACGTTGTGGTGTGGTGCCTTCCTCTGTCCAGTCGCTACAGGATTCATTGCCGAAGACCTGGGTTGGCGTTGGATCCAGTACATCCTATCCATTATAGGCGGCGTAGTAACCATTTTGACGTTTCTCTTCTTCGAAGAGACCATGTTCTACAGGCCTAGTTCACAAGCCGATGTCAGTGGCATCACCGATCAGCAGCGGGGTCTCTTTGATAGCGACAAGAGCGCAATCGATACCGAGCGGACCGAAGACCAAAAGCCTCAGCCTGCGGAAGCCGCAGCCAGTGTCAATTCTGAAATCGAGACACGCACTATACCGAACCGCGTTAATTTAGCACCCGAAAAACCTTTTTGGTCGAAATTCAAGTTATGGGGTTATCAGGACGAAAGAAAACCAAGCCAGCTGAAGCAATCTTTGTTGCCATTTTACCTCCTTCGATTCCCTTCCGTCATTTTCGCGGGCATTCTGGTTGGAGGTATTCTCTCGTGGTACAACGTAGTTGGCGGGTCTTTGGCTCTCATCCTCGGCAACCCACCATACAACTTTGGTTCCAACGTCATCGGCCTCTTTTACCTTGCTTCGGTGATTGGAGTATCGATCGGATGTCTGATATCAAGCTGGGCGAGCGATGCCTTGTCAGTGTGGATGGCCCGCCGACATGGAGGAGTAATGGAACCAGAGCATCGTCTTTGGCTATGCTTCCTGGCTGTCGTGGCTCATCCTGTCGGTTGCATCCTATATGGCGTGGGGGCTTCATACCAAATCCACTGGGTCGGTATTGCTTTCGGACTGGCCTTAATCTCTGTCACTCTCCCTCTGGGAACCAGCATGGCGTTCACATATGTCCTTGACAGCTTCAAGGATCTCGCTGGCGAGGGCTTCGTGTCAGCTATCCTTATTCGCAACACAATGGGTAAGTTGACGCCGTCATTCCTCTTGGCGTCAGATCCAAAGCTTACCATACCCAGGCTTCGCTTTCAGCTATGCTGTAGTGCCGATGATCAATAGCATTGGTCTTCGTGATGCCTTCATAGTCACGGCTGTTCTTGGAGTGACATTCTGGGCACTGTGTCTGGTCATGATGTACATAGGGAAACCGTTGCGACGCATGGCGGCGCCTCATTACTGGGACATGGTAGAAAAGCATAGCCTTTCAGGACACTGAGTGTTTACATAAAATCAGTTGCGTTTTACAGAGAGTTTAATGCAATAATTCTCGCTCTTTCCACTCATGTAAAGGAGGTCTTTTGACCACACTGCGTTTGTCTTATTAAAACCTACATGCAGTTACACCTAGGCTTAAGTTTATTCCATACATGTGATACTTGTCAGCGCCAAATACCGCACAGTTGAATCCTTGTAGGCCACCCAGTAGATCTGGATTGCCCGCATACATTTCTGTCTTTGACATTTTTACCCTACACCCAAGCATTCTGAAAGTCACAGTGACCAAGTTTCAGAGAGGGCCCCTTCGTTCTAGTGCTACTCATGAGGTGAGCCAAGGACATAATCTTGATTATCCGATTTGACGAGACACGAATACGAGTGCAAGCCCTCGCATTTCGGGCAGTAGTTCAGCCGAGTTGTGTGAGGGCGTCTAAGTAGATAGGAAGGATTGATTCATTATCATGTTAAACTGGAGATCTAGCCGTCCCCTCCATTTTACGAGCAACATCCTTCCCAAAGGGGTAACAAGATGGGCCAACTTGAGACTTGCGTTGTGTAACACCTCTCGAGCCAGCCCTCATTGTTGATTCACTTGGCTCGTCAATCAAGGAGTAAGACAGGTCATCTGAAAGCGGCAACCCGAGAGCATATCCTGCAATACTAGAGCGGTACGAGCTTGGCATTACTTCAACATACAGACCCCCGCTCAGAGCTTAACCCCCCGCACTAGCTGCATGTAAACTACTTGAGCCTCTTGGCTGCCCTTCTCGACTGCCTTTCGCGTAGACAATTAGCTTAACTATGGTACTGTTGCCCCTCTGAGGAACTTTATGTATCAATACTGCCCCTGGATTCTTTCAAGCACACCAGGTTGAGCCCACCACAATCCTCTACAGTCCCAAATATGGCCTCTGCTCAATTTTTCAACTATCCAGGGACTGAGTCCAACGCCGAGCAATATCACTACTCCCAAGCCGTAAAGATCGGAAACGTCGTTCGCACATCAGGTCAGGGCGGTTGGGACGAGAAAGGAAATATCACCACCGACCTCGAAAAGCAGATCGCTATTGCGTTCGAGAATGCTCTCAAAGCTCTTCAAGCCGTTCACCCACGCCTCAACTTCAAAGACATTTACGCGATTCGCTCCTATCATCTTGATATGGACTCGAGTTTCGACGTCATGACGACGACGTTCAAGAAACTGTTCCCGAATCATAGACCTATCTGGACGTGTATCCAAATCGGCAAGCTTGGATTGGAAGGGATGCAGGTTGAAATCGAAGTTGAAGCGTTGATCCCTGTCTAAGGGACATGGGTGTAGGATGCAAGAGAAACTTTCCCAATCTTGTGGTTTAGACATGATTAATATCGGCGCGGTATCTGGGGTACTTTATGTACCATACCGGCCATCTGTCTTAAGAGCATCATTAGTCACCTACTACAACGTCGTATAGCCTTCCACCGTGAATCTTTTGTTTTGACAAACTGAGCGAAATTTTGTAGAATCACTCAACTCTGATGCTTACAAGTACGTGCAACTATGTGACTGTAGACAGCCCTTGGACCACCTTGTGAACTTCAAGAGACCATGGCTAGGCTAGAATACCGAGAGTGTAAAAGTTAGTTCAAAACTTCACCTTAATTAGCCAACAATAATACTCCGACTTATCATTGCGAGTTTACGACGATACCGGTAGTTTCCATACTTTTGGTAGAAGGTCCAAGCCAAGACGCAAGTTCATCCTGACACGAAGCCGGCTGCACATGCAGCAGTGGCGCAACCCGCAGCTAAGCTCACTGTTGGCAAAATTTTGATTGGCGGCACCGAAGTAAGTTTAAGTAACTTGAGCTTGGTCACTCCGGTTGAGAAACCTTCTCAGGGTAGTGATGGACCGCCGTGGCCAAAGTTGAGGCCTACGCGACCAACCTGCAACTTGAGCGTCACTACATGTGGTGGTGTGTTGCCTGTCTCGGATATCCAGTTCCGACTTGGGGCTGGGCAAAATGTCTCATGCTTCGTATCCGCAACCTGGAATCATGTCAAGCAATCACCGAGTTGAGCTTCCACTTTCCCGACCCTCTAATTCAAGCTATCCGACCACCCTGTGCTGCTGCACCTCAACAGCCCCGCGCCAATGGCCCAAAAAGTTGCCTAATTCGGACAGCTCCTGCGGGAAACCCCGCACCCCTCTCATTGGCGTTGGGATGGTTGAAATTGACGCTGCACAACTGGGAGTAACTAAGGTGGGGAGAAGTATCCGGACACATGTAAACCTGGTGGGCACTTCCGACCAGGAGACGGGATCTTGTCCATCTTTTATCTGCTTCAGGATCTCCGAGCCACCATGGTGGCTCCGTCTGATAGCTAGCCGCTGATGATCTGCAGAATTTCACAGATCCGCTTCCCCACTTGTCTGGAACACTTTGATGGCGGAGACACAATGATCCCATTTATTGCCTAGTCTGTCCGACATGCATTGACAGTTTGCGTGGATAAGAGGGCGGGCTGCCTCACGTCTTCGACTTGAAGTAAGACGCCCTGCCCTGATTTGTTCAACTACGGCGATTGTGTTTTGTTTTCTGTCCCCTTACCCCCACACTTCGGAGTTCACACCAAGATGTCAGCTGCTACCTTGGACCTCACAGCGCCGAATGGCACAAAGATCTCCCTGCCTACAGGGCTCTTCATAAACAATGAGTTCGTGAAAGCTAGCTCAGGATCCAAAATCACTGCAATCAACCCAAGGTACGATAAGAAATTGACGTCACTCGTCGAGTCTTATGAGACTGACGACTTTATAGTGATGAAACTGAGATCGCGGCAGTTGAAGCCGCTTCACCCGAAGATGTTGACAAGGCTGTAAAAGCAGCACGGGCAGCATTGAATGCCCCAGGCTGGGGTGACATCTCTGCCACGGATCGGGGCAGATTGATGTTCAAGCTCGCCGACCTCATCGAGGCAAACCAGGAGACTCTAGCCACCCTTGAGACATGGAACGGCGGTAAGCCGTTTGGTGTGGCCCTCGGAGAAGATGTTGCGGAAACGATCTCAACGTTGCGCTACTATGCTGGCTGGGCAGACAAGATTCATGGCGAGACCATTCCGACGACGCCTCAGAAGTTTGCGTATACAATTAAGCAGCCCATTGGAGTTTGTGGACAAATCATTCCGTGGAACTATCCAATCATGATGGCGGCATGGTTAGTGAAATCGCTTCTTCACAGAAAAAAGGCACGAACTAATTCGACTTCTAGGAAGCTCGGTCCGGCACTGGCGTGTGGCAACACAGTGGTTTTGAAACCTGCCGAACAAACGCCACTCTCTGTCCTGTACTTTGCAACTCTGATCAAGGAAGCTGGATTTCCTCCAGGTGTTATCAACATTGTCAATGGACTTGGAAGGGAGGCCGGCAACGCCCTGGTTTCTCATACCGATGTTGATAAAATTGCTTTCACTGGCTCCACAGCAACCGGAAGACAGATTATGAAGTCTGCGAGCGTCAACCTGAAAAACATCACGCTAGAGACTGGCGGAAAGTCGCCTCTCGTGGTCTTCAGCGATGCCGATCTCGACCAAGCAGCAAAATGGGGCCATGTTGGCATCATGAGCAACCAGGGCCAGATCTGCACATCCACATCCAGAATCCTGGTTCATGAAGATGTCTACCAGGACTATGTTGCAAGGTTCAAGGCGATATGTCTTGAAAACAAGGTCGGCAACCCCTTTGACGACGACACATTCCAGGGACCGCAGATCACGAAGGTCCAATATGAGAAGATTCTGGGATACATCCAGGCCGGTAAGGATGAAGGTGCCAAGCTTGTGACTGGTGGAGTTCCATTCAAGAACGTCGGAGATGGTAAAGGATTCTTCATCGAGCCAACAGTCTTTTCCGACGTGAAGAAAGATATGAGGATCTTCCAAGAAGAGGTTTTCGGTCCTTTCGTCGCCATCACGCCTTTCAAGACGGAGGAAGAGGCAGTTTCTTTGGCTAACAACACATCATACGGACTCGGCGCTGCGTTGTTCTCACGCGATATCGAGCGGTGCCATCGTGTAGCCGCCCGCCTCGAGTCTGGAATGGTCTGGATCAACAGTTCGAATGACTCCGATATCCGTGTTCCATTCGGTGGCGTCAAGCAAAGTGGCATTGGCCGCGAACTGGGAGAAGCTGGCCTCGCTGCTTACTCACAGACAAAGGCAGTGCACGTCAACATGGGATTCAAACTGTGAACTGGTCGAGTAGAGAAATCTTGAAAGTTCATAGCCACATGATCTATTGCCAGTCCCAAACTTCCTATTTGAATTAATCATAGCACGACGGCATCTGAGGCCAAATCGGCGTACATTTCTGACCAAGTTACGTCCTCTCGAGCAGCCTTCCATACACCGCACAAAACCTCAGAGACAGTATGTAAGCTAGCAAACCGCATCTCATCACGAATAATATGAAGGATACCCAGAACTGCTTTTCTGTGCCTTGGGGACTGAACATGCGCACCAGCAACGAGCAAAGGGAAAATTACACAATTCAGCACCTTTGACGGCTGTTTCATATCGATGATGCACTCTAGACACGGCAGAACGTGCTGCTGTACGAGAGAATGAGAGACTGGCAGACCGCAAATGGCTCGATACATGTAGATGAGAGCCGTATGCTGGAACGCACGAATTAGAGTGAAATCGTTGTTTGCCTCTGAGTCCGGATCGACATCTCCAGTATCTGAGCATGTATCCGTGATCTTGGCATACATTGGGGACAAGGCCGTCTCGAACTTGCGGATAGTTTCCATTGAGAGTTGCTCGGTGCCGTTGTTCAGAGCATCTCGGTACTCTGTAAGCCGAGATATTTGCTGGAAAACTGAGGCCAGGGATGAGCGCCCAAGGATGTCTCTTCCCCACCATACGGATCTCTTCTCAATTGTATCCCATATTTCATGAGGGAACGAGGGTTTCCCTCCCTTGAGCATGATCGTTGTGAGATCCGTTGACGCAAATTCGGAGAGGAGCATGTGGATCGATTCATGACTCGTCTCCAGAACCGGGAGAATGCCCCCGAGACTGTCGATGATTGCCTTAACGCCCCCATGGTGACTTGACGTTGAGGCAGACGCCTGAGCGCATTCAAGGTATCCGTCGTGGAAATAAAGTAAGAGCACAGCGAGCAACAGGGTCATGAGTGAACTCTTATCGACCATGTGAGCGCCGCCGACCTGACCCCGAACGGCCGCGAGACACTCGAGTCGCTTCATGCGGAGAAGACTGCGGCTGTTCCTCCCATCCTGGAGAACCCGGTGCGCATCCGCAATGACGCACGCCGCGAGAAGTACGACTCGATGCTCGAGGGCCTGTAAGATTGGAGCCGCGCATGGTTCCGGGGCCGTCGTGAAGAGCGGCCACAGGCGGTGATGGAAGTAGTCCAGGGCGCGCCGTTCGTCTGAAGCTAGACAGGACGCGAGCTGCGCGTCTCTGGTGGCGATCTGGTAGATGGCCGGAGCCTTGATCGTGGGCCGCGTGCTCCATTTCAGGCGGCGAGCGTTGAAGTCGCAATCAGCCCCAATCTTGGCGCAACGATTGCACCGGGGCTTTGTCAGGTCGCACTTGATGCGGCGCTTCTTGCAGGGCCAACAAGATCCCTCGACTACCCTGACTCTGTTTGTGGGCATCTTTGGGGCTCCAACGGTCAAGAGACGGCTAGCTAGATGCTTTATAAGGCTGCGTCAATGTCGAATTGGGTACTAGTAAGCTCTCGGCGACGTTCGCGATAGCAGATAGTGACGAGTGAGTGGAGATCCAAGCCTGATGTTGTGGTTTGCTATCAGCAGGGTTCGGATTCCCGTCTGGTATCAAGGCCCCCTCCTCCCAAGTGCTCGAGAAGGATTCGGTAGATGGGGGAGCTGTGCGGGGGAAAAGGGGGATGAGCACGGATGGGATCCGGGCTGGATTGACTCGACGAAGCTCCAAAGTTTGCGAAATTTGGTCCATCTAGTTTCCTCAAGGGGCTTAGCGGCTGTCGAAATGACCCGGTCTACTGTTTTGTGTGACAGCTGTAACTGTTATCCGGGATCAAACCTTGTTTTGCAGATCAAAGAACGCGTCGGAAGCCCATCCGGTGGGCGGTCATAATCCGCCTTGAACCCAATGGCTGCAAAATTTCGAATAGACAAACGACCGACCCCAATAGAGAGTAAGCTCTTCACGACAAGTCAACAATGGACCCTGCAACGAATGAGACATGGGCTGAAGTCCAGATGACGCCCAATCCTTTGACAAATATGAGCACTGCCGTTGCGCTGGTAGCTTGCTCGATCATAGCTCTCATATTGGGCATCCGGCTAGCCCGGTCACCGCAACCAGCGAGCGAACCCTTAGAAATCACACAAGTACAACTTGGCCTCCCAGTATGCAAAGTAGCCAATTGAAATGATTCTGATCGGAACTTCGTAGCTATACATATATCCTATCAAAGGGCTAGGAGGATGCGCGGTGCAACGAGCACATTTGGGCAAGTACGGCTTAGTCGGAGACAGGACGTTTTCCCTACAAAAGGTCATTCGGGATAAAATCGACCCATCCAAGAAGACATATGAGACAATGTTCATCGGCTACTATCTCTTTATGGCACTATTTCGGGCTTCGATCGAGCATGATGGAAGACGAGAAAACGCGACCGAAGGAGAAGTCATAGTAAAATGGCACGGCCGGGGAACGGAGCATGGCAAATCTATCAACGAAGCGAACATCACCACCGCTGACGAAATCCGATTCGCCCTATCACCAAGTACAGAGGGGCTGGAAGTGATCGACACAAGTCTTCATGTGAGCCAGGCCAAGGCCTACGACATGGGCGACGAGCTTGCGACGTGGTTCTCGGAGCGCCTCGGTGTTGAGGCGAGACTCGCCTATATTGGTGACGGCTCGCGACCTGTCCTGGGATCTTTGGCACCAAACAGCAAAGCAGGCCTGAAAAAGGCCAGACTTGCTAAACGTCTTAGGTCCTTCGTCCCATTTGCCCGGTTTCCCGAGGAGCGTCTTGTCTTCAACGATCTTGCACACTACCTCGTCGTCACTGAAGAGTCCACTGCGGAGGTTTCATCTCGCCTAGAAGGCGACTTGACGATGGACGTTCGCAAGTTCCGCCCGAACGTCGTCGTCAAAGGCGCAAGCGGTCCCTTTGCAGAGGACTTTTGGGGCGAGTTGACCTTCGACGGCGGTGTCCAGATGCCTCTGACGGCCAACTGTTATCGTTGCCAGAGCATTACTGTTGACTATGAAACAGGCAAGACTGCGAGTGACGATCGTGGATTGGTGTGGAAGAAGCTGAACAAAGATCGCCGAGTTGACAAGGGCGCCAAGTATAGTCCTGTCTTTGGGCGTTACGGGTACTGCTTTGGATCAGCTGTTGGAGAGACACTAAGCGTGGGACAGAAAGCGCGAATCTCCCACGTCAATTCGGATAGAACGACTTTCGGTAAGCTCTTAGTCCTACTCCACTACATGTAGTAATGATCGAGTCCTTTGCTGATGGAGCTTTCTAGATTGGCCGCATCTCACAACGTTCGGCATCAGCCAGACGAAAAACTAGATCGAAGGGTTGGTACATGCTTAGAAAAATTCTGGAAACACGACGGCTTCTACCGGGTTAGAAGATAATTATAGAAACCGGCATAGAACACAAAAGCAACCAAAGTCGTACCTCCGACGAGAGGGAAGCACTTTAGTTTCCGTGGACGCCCTGTCAAGTCAGTGGGCCAATTGCTTAGTCGGGTAGATCCTAAACATTATGGGGGCGCGAAAGTCTCCGAAAGCTAGAATGGTAATCAAAAGCAGCTTTTCGCCCGGATCGGAGCCCTTAGGCCTCCCGGAGGAGGATGTGCCTAAGATATAACGTTGAATCGTGATCGAGACCCGGGTCAGTGGCATGGGAGAGCTGACTACCCGCTCCGCTAAGGTGTGCCGGCGCTAACCTCCGCAAACTCCGTGTCCCACCCAGTTCGTCCGAGTGTTGGACCGGCCGGCTCAGCAACTGACATAATCCACCATGGTCAAGACTGAGAAGAATCGTAGTGCTGAACGAGTCGCCAACCAACTCACGGCCCGAGTGACATGTCCTAAGTATTGCCCAGGTGGCGATTGAACACAACCTTAGTGGTCCATGCCGAGACAAAATTCTCAAGATTCTTGCAAAGGTCTTCAGGATCCAAGCTGACATGGCCTGCTGCGCAGATTTCTAATGTCAAGTGAGTTCGACCCGGTTATTATGCAACGTCATCACTCTACTGAACCGGTGTATACTTGTCATCGAATCATCAGTGAGCATGGACACAAGAAGCTGTACTGCAACTTTTTAATGGATGAACTAGGACTAGTCAAGTCCGCATGAATTCCGCAAGCAACTCCACTAGGAATGCGTATTTCCAGTGACGGAAGCAGCCAACGCTCAAGGTCTTGTTTGACATACAAGTGAACAAAGGCGTAGATGACATGGCTGACTGTATAGCAAGAGTTGAAAGTGGAGAGATATGGATTTGTGTACCGGTAGATCATTGTTGCGCAGAACTCGTCCAATTATTGGGAAATAGGAGAACGGACGAAAGCATCCCTTCCCACCTAGTGCAAAGTACAGCGCCGTTACACCGTACTCAGACAGCATGTTTGCTGGCTCCGTATGAATTATTCATCTATGTCATTGCATCTTCACTCTTGATTCGGAATATTGCTTATTGCCATACCAGTGGACGAGAAACACCCTGGCGATCAACGTTGCGCTTGCGGACTTGGCGGCCGGTCCACAGCTCGGACGTTTGAGATACCCCGGATCCATATTTTGCGGTCCGCCATGCTCGAACGAAGATGACAAACCTACCTTACTTATGCTTCGGTGATATCACCGTCTGAAATTTAAAACCGCTCGTACTCGCGAACATTCTTCGAACGTACTATTTATGAAGACTGTCGGACCCTACAGTCTAGAGGTAGTAAACCCAACGATCTCTCCCAACTTCACTCACGTCCCATATAAGCTATTCACCAACGACCGAATTCATTCCATCAGAACACATCGTCAACAAGTCTAAAATGTCTAGCACAACTTCCTCAGCTGAGCCGTGGTCCTTGAAGGGCAAAACTGCCATCGTCACCGGAGGCTCCCGAGGAATCGGCAGTGGAATTGCCGTACACTTTGCCCGCAAGGGCGTGGAAAACCTCGCCATCACGTACGTGGCAAACAAAGCCGCTGCCGATAATACTCTTGCACAATGTCGCGAATTGGGTGTCAGAAACGCCGTTGCCATCAAAGCGGATTCAACAGATCCCACAATCGCCCCAAAGATCATTAAGGATGCCTTGAACGGGCTGAAAGTCACGACTATTGATATTCTGGTCAACAATGCGATCCTCGCCGACATTACCAACACCTCGGACGTCAAGACGCTGCAGGCCAAGGACTTCAACGACATCATGGTCGCAAACGTCTACACCCCTGTCAGCCTGACAACGGCGTTCATGGAGCACGCGCCCAAGTACGGTGGTCGCGTCATCAACATCTCCAGTATTGCCGGTAGAGTGGGCAATCCGAGCCCGATCATGACGTACGGAGCCACGAAAGCCGCGCTCGACAGCTTCACGAGGTCTTTTGCAGATAGTTTTGCCGCAGAGAAGGGAATGACTTTCAACAGCGTCGCGGTTGGACCCACGGAGACCGATGCGCTTGCTAAGGCGAGGGAACTGCACGCGGAGTTCATTGACAAGCAGATCGAGTACATGACTGTTGGTCCACGTCTTGGAAACACTGACGATATCGCCTACATCGTGGGTTTCCTTGCGAGTGAGGAGGGACGTTGGGTCAACGGAGCTGCCGTTAGCGCAAACGGTGGACATCGCCAAACTCTCGCTCACTTTGGCTAATCTTACGCTCAGTATTATATGAGATCACCTATGTAATTGTATTCTGCCTGAGTGCATGAATCAACCACAAGACATGTACCGAATTTATGAAGAATACTTACTTGACTTGCATGCCTTCTTCTATAACCGATGATATCCGGCCTCGGTGATAACAACTCTTCGTCCGCTATCAATTGAATATCATCATTCTGATACCGAAAATAAAGCCATTCGCAGTTCAATCATCGAAGGGGTCGCCGTGATCAATAGACCCATCTGACACCAACTGACATCCACAAATCAAACGTCTCACAATAAGCAACAAAGCCATTCGAGTTATGAGTCATGTCTGCGTGCCCATTTTCTCGAATATCGTGTACCAAATTCATGAGAAAGACCAAGTCCTCACACTATTACCTTAGTACAGTTGTTGATCACATGCAATTCGAGATCTAACCTACCTCAGCGCTGTTCCCACTCCAAAATGTAGCTAGCTTATTTTAGCTCACTCCACATTCGCATTGTGCATCACACCAAATACGGCGACTTCCGGGCTGCTCCGGCTCCCGACATCCGAAACGGCAGCCCGGGTATCCGGGTAGCTCTCCGTATACCTCTCAGCTCTCTTCTGAGGAGTTCGCTTCATTTTTCGATTCCGATAGTTTCTCTATTCAGCTCTTCTTCAGATCGTATTTTATACTGGTTGTTGGTCCTGAACATGGTGTCCCACGACCACGAGTTGATTTCATCCAACATGCAACCTCCTCCAAGAAAGCTTGTCAACGTTGATCAGATCATCGAAAATGCCACACTTGCAGAGAAGGTTTCGCTGCTTGCCGGTGAGAATCTCCAAAACAGGAAATTCATCAAACTGAGTCCCTAGTACTGATAGCTCATGGGTAAAGGCTCCGACTTTTGGCACTCCACTCCTCTTCCCCAGCATAATGTCCCGGCCATCAAATGCACCGATGGACCCAATGGCGTCAGAGGCTCACGATTCTTCAACCCAGTGCCCGCGCTTTGCATCCCTTGTGGAAGCGGCCTAGGAGCAACGTGGAACCCTGAGTTGATCGAGCAAGCTGGCCAGCTGCTTTCCAAAGAATGCGACGCCAAAGGTGCCCATGTCTGGCTCGGCCCAACGGTCAATATCATTCGGTCCCCGCTGAATGGTCGTGGATTCGAGTCCTTCTCTGAGGACCCGCACTTGAGTGGGATGCTTGCAGCCGCTATCATCAGGGGGGTCCAATCCCGAGGGACTCTGGCAGCTCTGAAGCACTTTGTAGCTAACGATCAAGAGACCGAAAAGATGTCTCTCGACGTGCGCATGTCTGATAGAGCACTGCGAGAAGTGTATCTCTTACCTTTCCAGATCGCTTTGAGAGATAGCAACCCCAGAGTAGTGATGTCTTCTTACAACAAAATTGGCGGTCTACATGTTTCTGAGAACCCCATGATTCTTCAAGATATCTTGCGGAAAGAGTGGGGGTTTGATGGTCTCATTATGAGTGACTGGTAGGCCTCATGCTCTCTTCGTTCAATAGTGTATCGGCTAACACATGCAGGTACGGCACATACTCTTGTGAGGCAGCGCTCAACGCTGGCGTTGATATTGAGATGCCCGGCCCTAGTCGTTACAGAGATAAAGAAGCCCTTGCCGCAGTATTCTCCGGCAAAGTACACCAACACACCATAGACGAGCGGGCGCGAAAGGTTTTACAGTTTGTCAATGACGCGGCTTCAGCTCGCGTCGAGAAGGAAGAGAGTATGCGGGATGTGCTTGAAGACAGAACCCTGAATCGTCGTTTGGCAGGCGAGAGTATCGTGCTGTTGAAGAATTCTGCTAGTCTGTTGCCAATATCACCCGAAGACTGCAGTGAAGTGGCCATCATAGGGCCAAATGCTGAACTCGCAGCTGCTTGTGGAGGAGGCAGCGCGAGTCTTCGACCATACTACACCAGTTCCGTGCTCAAGGGCATAAGGGACTCGCTACCTCCTACAGCCAAAGTACATCATGAGCCGGGTGTGTATGGACACATCTTGTTACCGCCTTTCACAGAAGACAGTGTGTGCAATGACGAAGGTCAGCGAGGTGTGACGATCGAATTATTCAACGAGCCGCATACCATCAAACAGCGAAAGGCATTTGATCGTGTTACGATACCAGACACCACCTATCAACTGATGGACTACGAGCATCCCCAAAAGGGAGAAACTTTCTTCATGTCCATGCGTGCAAATTTCGTTCCAGAACACAGCGGCACGTACGAATTCGGCTTGGCGACTTACGGCATTGGTGACCTATTCATCAATGATGAGCTCGTCATTGACAACTCGACAGAACAGACCCCGGGAGGCATGTTTTTCGGCAAGGGCTCGGCCGAAAGGCGAGCAACGTATGAGATGACGGCTGGGGAGCGGTACCATCTTCGAGTTGAGGCCGGCAGTGCTGCAACATCAAAGGTGAAGGGTGGCTCACTGTTAGCGATCCCTGGTGGTGCGTGCCGGTTAGGTGGTTGTTGTAAAATTGATCCTGAAGAGGGCATCCAGAGAGCCGTCGAGCTAGCAAAGAGATGCAAGTACACTTTTGTGGTTGCTGGACTAAACGTAAGGAACTCTCAACGACTGTTGCATCCCAGAAAGCTGACGATAGTAACTCTAGGCGGACTTGGAAAAGGAGGGCAAAGATAGAGACACGATGAACATGCCGCCACAGGTGGATAACCTCATCGCAGCTGTTCTTGAAGCGCAACCGAACACCATAGTGATCACACAAGCCGGAAATCCAATCAGCCTGCCTTGGAGGCATAGCGCCACCACGATGGTTCACAGCTGGTATGGCGGCAATGAGGCGGGCAACGCCGTAGCGGATGTTATTTTTGGACGCATCAACCCCAGCGGCAAACTGCCTATGACCTTTCCTGCTCGGCTAGAAGACAATCCTGCGTACCTCGCATTCGGTAGCGATAATGGCAAGGTCTATTACTCTGAAGACATCTTTGTTGGGTACCGTTGGTACGAGGCGAGAAAGATGGAGGTCGCATTCCCGTTTGGGTAAGTTGACTTGCCTGTATTAGAGCGGAAGCCTGCAAGCTGACATTCTCACAGCCATGGTCTGAGTTACACTACCTTCCAAATCTCGGAGATGCAGGTATCGTCCTCCAGAGTTCACGTCAGTATAGAGAATACCGGGCGGATGGCAGGTGCAGAAGTTGTCCGCCTGTACATCAGTTACTCGACTACAACGCCCAAGTCAAGATTTTCCCGTCCCGTCCGCTCGCTTATGGGATTCGAGAAAGTCCTCTTGCAGCCAAGGGAGAGAAGAAGAGTCTCAATTCCTATCGATAGATATAGCACCGCTGTCTGGGATGAGAAGAGGAACAGTTGGTGTTGTGAAAGAGGCCGATATACTGCTTCAATCGTTGCGGGAGGCGCGATCTTAGATGGCTCCTTTGAGCTTGAGAAGGACGCGTTCTGGACTGGCCTCTAAGTGAAAAGGCCCATGTGTGTGGTCGGGCTTGACTAGACGTTACATGTACATATACCTACTTATTAAATATTCGTTCTAGATAGAGACAAAGACAAAGACCTTGCGTAATGCCTCGAAGCTCTCAAGGACTTGAGGTTCTCATTGATAGCTCCATGAAGCCTGCTATAAGGTCACTGAAAAAGGTTGCAAAGTGCTAATAGCGCCGAGGGCGTTGTGAATTCGTGATTCCAGATCTCGAGATCGGTGCTATCAAGGATCAAAAGCAACCAGAATCAGCCATATTCCAGTCATTTTGGAGTGGCATGAAGGTATCTAGAAACAAGTCTGGCTGACATTCCCCGTAACTCGGCTCAAAACCCAGAGTCATTGATACATCGTATGGCGCCGCACTTGCACCGAAGCCAGCTTCCGAAAAGCCAAAGCCATTGGCTGTCATATCTTGAGGCATCGGCATGTATGGCTGCGGGCCATGCTCCTTTGACATATCGGTCATCAGGAACTGCTGAGGTGTGACACCATCTGCGCCCACCCCTATTGCCGGCGCGTCTGACTGGTACTCATCCCTGCCCTCTTCGCCGTCTTGTTGGAATTTCAGTTTCCGAATCTCATCTGTGACGCTGTATTTTGAATAGACCTCCGTTACCGGCCCTTGCGTACTTCTCTGGACACCAGGTTGTTGAGCCCCGGTCGCCTCGTTGTCGGATCCTGGCTGTTCGGCCTCCCAATTTGATCTGAGCGGGCTGGAATCGCCAGAGCCCCGCTCCGCATCGTGTATGAGATCTGCAATTCCACCTCGCAAAAGCTTGGTGGTGGGGTATATCTCAGCTGGCGTCTCAAGAATATCTGAGCACGCCTTCAGTTTGGATATCAAGACATCCTTGGGCAAGTTGGCGAACTGGCTTGATCCAAGCCGCGATATGACACGGGCAGAGTGAAAAGTACACATCACCAAGGCCGGATCTGTGATAAAAATGTCTCTCCCCATTTCATTCACTGTTGCCATGATATTCGCAACAGCAAGCGCATGCTGGAGACACTTGTCTCTGCAGAAAGAGACCAAGTCCTGAGGCAGAGTTTGCAACTCTTCCACGGGGAGACCTTCCCGAAAGCCCGGTATTGTAAACCTGTACATATCGCATTGGCACTGATGCCACCATGTATGGAACATGACGAAAGGGGTGCGTTGTGGAGTGTAGGCTCGGAGAAAGAGATTCTTTTTGTCGAATGCGAATTGCGGCGGTAGCGAACGGCGCAGCGCGTCGAGTTCGTCCACAAGTCCCTTGAGGAGCGAAACACATTCAACCAAGGGCTTCCGATGATGTGTGATTGTGTGTGATAACCTAGACAGACTGGTTAGCTTGTGGCTCTGATAGATCGTCAAGGCAGTAATAAGATCTTGATACTGTACCTTTGTATCCTATCCCGGATGTCGAGGACTCGGATATTGTACGCCATCAGACCTAGCTCTAGAGAACATTGATTTTCCGGAGGCTTCAGGGGCTCCGTCATTACAGGAATATCAAGAGTAAAAGATCGCTCGTGGCAGGGAAGTTGGAGATGTATTGTCTCCTTCGGACACCCGGTGAATTCTGTTCTTCCGCTGGAGTAAAGCGTCTCCATGGTGTAAATCCCCCACATGAGACGCCGGCGACGTTCTTGAGTAAGGAAGCTTAGGCGGCCATCTTCATAGTTGAGTCGCATCATGAATGCTAGTCTTGCTGCCAGGCAAGCAGAAACTAACATTTTACTAAATCGGCGAGCGATGATGTGGTCCAGTGTAGTGAGCATAAGTGCCTCGATATCCGACATGGAAGGCTCACTGAGCCGCATGAAGAGCTGCATCTCCGACTCTTGGATCCATCAAGTCGCTTGTTGCAGGCGGTTACTGTCCCCTGATGCGATATAGCGCGCTGTAAGACCACACATTGCCTTCAAGAGGCGCGGGTTGTATGTGTCCTGTGCCCAGCTTTGACAGAAGGTTGCCTTGTGGATGAATCCATAGCAGGGTATTGGATAGACAAAGTCGAAGAAAGCATCGATGTGTTGCTTGATGATTGTCTTGTTCGAGTTCAACTCACTACATGACAGGACATGTTTCAGTAAACTTCAGCACACATGTAGTTGCTAAGTAGACTTGCAAGGGACTCAACTTACAACCCAAGTGACGAGGCCGGAGAATGCGCAACGGAGGAATCTCGATTCATAGACGAAGTTCTATTTTCCATGCTGTTTTCCGAACCACCACGCGCTGTAGCAGGCGGTTGGTGTCGGAGATCCGAGTTTGGGTTTCTAGCTGATGAAGACTTAGACACGTCTGGATAGTGGCAGTCCACACCCCGATGAGAGCATCGCCGACATGAGGGCTGCGTGCCGCAGCACTTTGTCTTCTTGTCACGACATTGTATGCAAGCAGTACGCACGCGACGCTTCTCCAGCCTCAGATGGCTTGGATCACTGCTGCTAGGAGTGGAAGAATTTGTAGCATCCGGCAACTGATCAGGTGCTGCAAAGGAGCAATGAAACTTGAGTCGACGACAATTTTCGCACCCTCCAGGTGCGCCGTCACATCGGACCTATCGGCTACGGGTTAGGGGACCCTCTTCCCGAAGAACCGCGGCAGGGAGACTCCGGGTGCAAGTTGACCGTGACTTACCTTGCGGTTCCGGCACTGGAAACATATCTGCAACCCTTTTCGGGGCCGACCCGAAGCGCGATATGGATTAGGCGTCTCCATGTTCGAGTCTTACCCGCAGTATTTTCTGATCAAAAGAGTGAAGATGCATAAGGTCGGGGGACGGGGTGGGAAGTCGGGGGAAGAAGAGATGACATATCTTCCGCCCGAGTTCCGCGTTCATTTTGACTTTCTCGCCTCCGCCCGAGTTCCGGGCCCCGGGGGCCACCCTAGTCGAACGCCAAAATCCCAAGCGGGCGGTCACCGGGTTCCTCACCCGCAAAAGATTTTCGTTCTGGACTCTCTGCTGGTACGCTGGGTCGCTCCGTCGCAGCGTGGCTTTCTCCATTCCTCCACTCACCTCCAGGAATTCATCTCTAGCGCCGTGAACGGCTTGCTTCCCCAGTGGGTTCCCCAAGTTGGGGAAACCTCCTCCGCCATGTGTTGGTTCATCTCGTGCGTCTGATCGGACGACTCTATTGCCAGTGAAAGGGGTGATTAGCTCAGATCAACGGGGAGTCCTGGCTCCACTTGACAGGGAACGACGTAGTAACGTAATAACCACGAGGCGTAGAGTTTGATTCCTTCAACGCGTCTGAATACTTAAAGACCGGGCAGAGAATGCATCGCCAACTTCAGCCCGAGCACCCTGTCACTTGAGGCACGGAGCTGAGGTTATTCGAACAGTCGCACAAAGATCTCCGAGGTCTCACTTTCGCGATGGCGCCCAACCGAATCCTTAAACACTTCAACGGCACCCTGGCCGCGGCCTTTACCGTGATCGCCGTCTCGACCTTCAACTATGGCTTCGATAACGCTGGCTACTCGACAACCCAGGCGATGGACGCGTTCCAGCGCCAGTTTGGCGACCAGAACCCCACAACTGGCAAGTGGAAGCTTCCCACCGGCTGGCTCGCGTTGTTCAACAGTCTCAACTACATCGGCTTCGCGGCCGGCGTCATCATCGGTAGCCTCGTCAGTGCTCGCTGGGGTCGTCGGTGGTGCATGTTTGGAATGAGTGCATGGGCCGTTATCCCTGCAACAATCGCGATTACTTCAAGTACCCGAGAGCAAATCATGGCTGCACGCATTCTGAATTGTAAGTGGTTTCTCCCTCGTCCTGCATTGGAGTTGCTGACTGGAGTATGAAGACATCTACGTTGGCATGGAACTCGCCGTGGTCCCAGTGTATCAGTCTGAGATTGTCCCCTCGGAGATTCGTGGCTTTGCAGTCGGCTCTTACCAATTCAGTCTGATGGTAAGCTTTCTGTCTCCAGTCAGTGGAGTATTTAGGGTAACAGGCCTGCTCAACTAACAATCTTTTGTCCAGTTTGGCACTCTAATTGTCAACTCTATCTGCAGAGGAACCAGCACCCTGGATGGCAATGCATCTTGGCGGATTCCGATGGGTTTATTCTATGTCATTCCTGTCATCGTCATGGGCCTGATCTTCTTCATCCCCGAGGTAAGCTTATGATATGACGACCACAGCCCCCCATGCGATAGACTACACCTACTAACTTTCGTTCAAGTCACCTCGCTGGCTGTTGACCCAGGACAGAGTCGAAGAAGCCCAGATTTCCTTGAGGAAACTCCGAGCCGGCACCATCCCTGACTCCGAGATCGATGAACAGTTCGCCGCCCTCCAGTACGCTTTAAAACAGGAAGTCGAACAAGGGAACTACATGGAACTCTTCAAGGGTGTCAACTTGAAGAGAACTGGTATCGTGATGGCCATGAACTTTTTCCAGCAAGCGACCGGGCAGGCTTTTGCCTCTACCTACGGTGCAATCTTCATCAAGGACATTGGCACCGTTAACCCGTTTACCATGACCATCATCAACGCCGTCGTGAACCTTTGCATGGTCTTCGTCGGACTCTACCTGAATGATCGTGTGGGACGTCGGTATGTAAATTTCCACCACAGATCGTATCTGTCGTGCTTTCTGGGTCATAAGTGTACTAATCTCACAAATTCATAGACCTCTCCTCCTGATCGGTGCGGTTTGGCAATTTGCCGCCATTGTAACCATGGGCTCCCTGGGTACGGTGGCCGATCCATCATTCGCCGTCAAGACGAGCATCGTGGCCATGCTGACGATCTTTGCCGCCGGCTACGTCTTTGCATGGGCGCCTCTGAACTACGTCGTTACCACCGAGATTCCGGCTCTCCGACTGCGCGACGCCTCTCAACGAACGGCGTCAATGGTCAACGTCTTGGCCAACTTCCTCGTCAACTTCAGCATCCCATACCTGCTCTACACTCCCGGCGCAGGATTAGGTTCGAAAGTCGGTTTCATCTTTGCGGGAATCCTGGTGTTGGCGCTTGTCTTTACGTGGTTCTGCATCCCCGAATGCAAAGGGAAGTCTCTCGAACAGATCGACCGGATGTTCAACGAAGGGGTCCCGCTGCGCAAATTCGGCAAGTACAAGGCGGAGGACATGTTTCAGGCTTCGCCAGAAGACGGCGAAAAGGCCGGGGTCGTTGTGACCGCAAGGCACACGGAGAAGGCGTAACGCGGAAGGAAGCCTATGGTGTTATATTCAGCGGTCACTAGATGATCTCAATCCCTGAACCAAGAACGAAACTCAGGGGCATACATATCCGATGTTGCTAAATCTCAATGTTTCCCAAAGCTGTGCTGTGCCGGCCCCTTCATCAACCGATGAGAAGCTCAGCCCCTATGTAGGGGCTATTCTCTCTTACCAGTCGAGAAATACTTCTTGCCAGAATCCAAATTTGGTAGCAGAATGTGGTTGAACGTGGCCACAGAAAGGCTAGGCTGTTTCATGGCGTGGTCTCATTAACCTCTTTGAGAATTGTTTCGATATCCCTATCCTCGAGGATTAACAGCGGAGTTCACTCCAGGGCCCTGTTGGTTCGGTCCACGCGGAGTAACCTGCCCGTTGCGGTCCAGCCCGAGGCGGCCCGGCGCGGCGGTAAGAACCCATTTCTATTGACTGCATTCAAAACGAGGTTACATCGGCGTGGCCGATTTCAGGATCGCGCTCAGCTTGTTTCGCGACCACTATCTTGGGTTCCTTGGGGTAGATAAGCATTAGTTCGTTGATGAATCAGATTGGTTCGTTCCTGGCCACCTTAAAGACCCCTGATCCAACCTGCTACCAACAACATGGTGCCATTCGACTTCAAACAACCCCTGCATTCAGAACCGGCCACTACATCTTAATTGAGTTGGTGATTCGATCAACGTCCACTTCGATTGCTCAACATTGCTTCACAATGCCAGGATCACAGCCTTCACGCCACGTACCTGCGATGAATCTGCCTCGTGGGGTTAACTTCACTGGCGCAATAAGCTAATTGTTATTGATAGAACTTTATCCTTAGGCCTACCAGCCATGGCAGTCCTAGGAAAACGGGTGTTGAGATTCTGTTCCTCTGTTTTAGTATAAAGACATCTTAACTCGTCTTGAGTCTCGTTCCCGCTGCGTTTTGTGTTGATGAATACGCGCAGCAAGTCTTCATAATACACCGAATCGTCATCCCTCTTCTCATCTTTCACTCTCATCAGCCCGCAATTTATCATTCCCTTTAACTTGAGAATAACCCTATTCAACTGAGCATGGCTCAACCAACAACCCTCTCAATCCCGTCTGGCCTGTTCGAGTTCGAACGCAAGTCGCCAGGTTCGCCCATATCTCCAGTCGGGACCTGCCCCGAGTCGCAGGGTGCCGAGTCGCAGGTCGACTATGCCGCCGGCTCTGAAGCCGTCTCTTCAAGCTACCACGAAAGTCACTTTCAAGACAAAGCTGATGTAATACCCGAGAATCCATTCGACAGTGAGAGCAGCAGGGTCCTGTTCGATGCCATTGACAAGCTCCAATCCTGTGGAGTTAGCCAAGAGTTGGCTATTCCTCAGGTAAGATCAGCCTATCCTCTAGCACTGTATCAAAGTTTGCAAGTTGATCAATATCTTAGCTGGTCATTGTCGGTGGTCAATCCACAGGGAAATCGTCACTACTACAAAGCTTGACCGATATTCCCTTTCCAGTCGGTTCAGGCTGCTGCACTCGCTTCGCGACAAGGATCGTATCTCGGAGAACCGCGCCTGGAAGTCGTAGCTCCGTCAAGGTGACAATCGTAGAGCCTGATGTTACCGACAAGTTTGGCTATCCACCACATGATACTTACAAGGAATTTCCGCCTTATGTAACTGATCATCTGGGCGTCGAAGAGTTTACGCAGCTTATGGAAACCGTAAGCCCTGTACAATCCTCCATGTTTTTTATGCAACGTAATTCCTTACGAACATTACAGATCACCACCAAGTACATGGGAATCAAGAGAGGCAAAGGACATGCGACGAAAAACTTTGCCTCTCAAGTTCTTCGGATAGAACTCTCAGGCCCTTGCCGATCACATTTCAGCATCCTTGACGTACCTGGCATCTTCTCTTACGCCCATGATGTCAATGAGGACGAAGAGCATGGTGTGAGACAGATGGTTGAGGAGTACATGAGACAACCAGCGAACATTGTCATGTCAGTTGAGCCCGGTAGTTTGGCGATTCCCAAAGCTAATGATCAGTAGATGCGTGGCCGCCGCCACGGCTGATTTGTCTACTCAAGAAATCTTCAAGATGGCCGCCAATTTTGTCGACAAATATCGTCTTGTTGGAGTCTTCACCAAGTGCGACAGGCTGGAGAACCCGAACGAGGTGAGCTGAAGCTGAAAATATGTACTGCTGAAAATCTGCTAATCTTCACAAGGTCATTGACATTGCCAGCGGGTATGGCAAAGACTCTTCAAGATCTATGAAGGACGGCTGGTTTGTAGTGAGAAATCGATCCGACGCCGACGATGAAGAGTTTGATTTCAAAGAAGCTGAACGCAAACTCTTCAGTCGCTCGCCTTGGGACAGAATCCCGGAGAATCGACGAGGCTCCGTACAGCTTCAGAAATATCTTGGCAATCTTCTCTGTGCTCAAATTCGAGGAAACTTTCCCGCGATTCAAGAGTCAGTCCGGAAGTTGCTCTCGGATGCCAAAGACAGCAGGCAGAGCCTAGGAGAGCCTCGACCAAGTCATAGTCTCCGTCAGCAGTACATCAGGGATGTGGTCGAGAAGTACCACACAGTTGCAACAAAGACTCTCAAGAGTCCCGGATCGTTGACCAAAGACAGTCTACGGGTCAGAGGATTAGTTCGTCGCGCAAACGAAAGCTTCACCGCTCAAATGCTTGCACGCGGGCATACTCACACCTTTGAAGACCACGGAGTTGACCCCATGGCCCAGCTCTCCGACACGATCACATTATTGTCAAATCCTCAACTAGCCACAGACTCGACGCCAACCGGGCACGAGCAAGTTGCTACACCACCAGCAACACCGCCAAAGAAGCGACATGCTCCGCCGCCTCAAAAATCTATCAAAACTCAGTCTGTCCACGCCGCGTCATTCATGGACGAAATCCGTGAGCAGCTTCACATTTGGCAGACAACAGAGCTACCCGGGATGGTGAACACAGAGGTCATCCAGATTCTCTACAAAGCGCAATCAGAGAAGTGGCAGCAGATTGCCAAACAGCACATTGAGAACATAGCCGATGATGTAGAGAGGGCCTCAAATTCGATTCTCGAGGATGTTTGTTCGCCCAACAATTGCTCGAAAATTCTGTATGAGGAGCTGGCACGAGCCCTTACCCACTTTCAGCAAGAAGCCAAGCAAAAAGCCCTTGGAGAGCTCAACGAGCACTGCCGACGCGAGAGAGAAGCTCATCTCCAGACAACAGACGCAAGGTTTCACGAAAGGCTGCAGGCTCTACGTACTGTTCGACTTCTCAAAGCGATTGGCGCCAGCTTCTCTTCATTCAAAGTTCTGGACCTGAGCAGCTCCAGGACTCTCTTCCATCAATTACACCACTCAATCGAGAGCAACATGGTTAACGATGTGCATGACGTTGTTAAAGTTTACTACGAAGTAAGACGACCCTCTTGCATTGCCACATCTTGAGAAGTTCCTAACCCATCCTCTAGCTTTCTCTCGAGGCCTTCATCAGGTACATCACCAACGATATTGTTGAGGATTTCGTATCTTTCTCCAAGGGACCCCTGTTGGGATTATCTACGGACTGGGTCTTTACGTTGACTGATGAAGAAGTTCAGAGGCTCGCTCGCGAGGATGACGAGACAATGGAGAGACGTTCGCACTTTGACGGAGTCATTGAGAAGCTGCAAACTGCGCATGAAATAGCCGAAAAGGCTAGAATTCAGACTCGGAATCTTAGGGACATGTGAGCTTACCTCACTAGGTGCTCGAGCGACTTGAAACCCGTGGTTATAGTGTATGATAGAAGTTGCCTTCCAAGTGTTAGCAGATTGACTGTTAAGATCCATCGATGTTCTTCCGTTTTCCATGCACCTCTCAAGCATACAAGTCAGGCATGATTGTCCGTAACAATTTGGTGTATCTCACTTGAAGAATACGAGTCAACAGTCTGGGACGGTATTACTGGCGAAGACGCACCTAAAGCAGGAATGGCTTCTCTTGCATAGGCCTAGAACGAACACCCTGTGCGGATCCTGACGCACTTGCCCAGAAGTACGGTACCTAGACTCGCCAACCGTCGCGAACCCAGTTTCTGGATGGCCCCGAGTCAACGTGGTTCCCCATGGGGTTCGTCACGATCCATGATGAAAAGGCCCAGATAGAGTTTCCCAGTGGCGTGTTACCCGGGCCGGAGAGTCAAGTGAAGAGTTGCGGAAAATCGGCTAGAAATTGGACCCCTGGGAGCCGCAAAGATGCAACCAACGAAAGTAAGTAGTGCATCAGGAACGCAGCCGCTTACGGATACAGGTTGGGAGGCCGAAGCGGCGCATGAGCGGTTGCACATTCCTCTCCGGGATTTCCTCTTGGGGCAACCCGGGACAGAGACCATGCAAAGAAACAAAAGAGACTCTTGTCAGGACCCGGTTAGAGATGAGATGGTGTGGTTTATGGTGGTCCAGGCTGTCCAGTTGCCTCGCAATGGTGCCTTTTTTGCATTCCGGGGACAGGGACGGCAAAATCCTGGGGGACATGCGGGGTAAAGTTTACGGGGCAACCATCAAGAAGTCGTGTGTCTGTGGCTACCGAGGCCGGACAACACTCCGCCGCTGGCTGACTGATTGATTGATTTGGCGATCGGATTCCTGTAGTCGGCAATACTGGTCTGCTGAACGGGTGAAGTTGGGTCTTGGCGACTGCTGGATTCAAAATCTAAAGTTTGGTTTTGCCTCCGAGTCAAACCCGGGTGTTGCTGTAAGCGCTACCTTAGCCTGCTGGCAACTCCGGGCAACGTCCGGGAGGCAAACTGGAACCAACTTTGATCGAGTGGCAATGGACTAGCTGACGTAGACGGCAATAGTTAATCCCGAGATACGGCAGTATCAATCAAGAGGCGTTATTGACGGTGGCCACGATTAAAGTAGACAAGACACAGATTCATGGTATTTGGATAATTGAACGATTTGTTGTGGTATCTATGCTTGAATCTAGATGAACTAGTGGTATCTCAACAACAGTCGAAGTCCTATAGACTTCATAAGAGAATAGGAATTAATGACATCGGATATCAATCCGTGCCCAATTTGAGAAAGCCGGAAACTGCCCGGCAAAGGACATAATTCGTAGAGATGGGGTATATCGGTTTCGGGCCACCCTGGCCAAGTTCCGCACCCCGACCAGGGGACTCAAGTACGCAACTTTGAAGGCGGAAAGAGACCGCCAATTAAGACTTCTCCTCCTTCTCGACGTTCTGGGTCTCCTCGTCCTGGCGCGCCCACAGCCCATTAGGCTCACCACTGCTGGTGCTGCCCTCGCGACGGTTCTCGCGGGTGGTGGCGTGGCCAGTCTCCTTGGCGTCGTCGTAGGTGATGAGAAGCTCGCCGTTCTTGCCGTAGCGGTGAGGCTCTTTGCGGGCGACGTCGACGACGTCGAAGGCACCCTTGAATCCGGGGGAGGCCTTCGCAAAGATGGAGTCCATTTCTTCAAGAGAGCGGTAGGCGGTCTCAGGGAAGAAGAAGTAGGTGACGGGAACGATGATGGCGTTGATGATGGCGAAGATGGTGTAAGTGTGGTGCTTAATGGAGTCGAAGGCGACAGGAGTAATCATGACGACCTGTAGTTCCAACGTTAGTGTTGATTCGATAGTAAGTAGACCTCAGACAGAAACGTACCATGAAGTTAAAGATCCAGTTGGCGGAAGTAGAGAGAGCGTTGGCGGGAGCACGAATACGCAGGGGAACGATCTCGGCGGGGTAGAGCCAGGTCATGCCGAGCCAGCCAACGGCGAAGAAGGTGTTGAAGACGAAGAGGAAGACAATACCAGTGATCTGGCAAGCGTAGGTCTTCTGGGAGTTCACACCGGCGAGGATAGCCATCGTAGCAGCCTGACCAACAGCGCCGAAGAGCATGAGCTTGCGGCGACCCACGCGCTCGACGAGGAAGACGGCGGGCCAAGAAGCAATGAAGTACTCAGTACCGTTGAGAGCAGCCAGCAAGTGAGCCATGAAGCGGGTCATGCCGAGGTTGGAGTAGATGACGGCGGCGTAGTAGGTGATCAGGTTGATACCGCAAATCTGCTGGAACATCTGGTTGACGTAGCCGAGAGCGGCGCGATGGAAGTTGCGGTTCTTGTCCATGGTGAAGAGGTCGCGGAAGCTACCCTTGGACATCTCTTCGACCGTCTCCTTCATGACAATGTACTCGTTCTTACAGTATTGATCGTCCTCTGGCAGATCGGCGATGGCGGCGATGACCTCTCTGGCCTCCTGGTCACGGTTCTTGAGAATCAGCCAGCGAGGAGACTCGGGCAGGTTCCAGACAAAGGCGAGGATGAAGAGACAGAAGAGAATCTGCAGAGCCAGAGGGAAACGCCATGCGACAGAGCCGGGAGCGAATGACATGCCGAGGTCGATCCAGTACGAGATCATGATACCACCACTAATGAGAGCACCCTCAATCATGACGAGCTTGCCGCGCTTGTGCGATGAGCAAGTCTCAGATTGCCAGGTAGGGACTGTTGATGTGTTGCCACCGTTTCCAAGACCAGTGATGATACGTCCGATGATGAGATGCTCGATGGAGAATGCAGAGGCCTGGAGAGCAGCTCCGATGACCATGATGGAGGTACCGAGGATAATCATACGCTTGCGACCAAGGGGGTTTCCGATGAAGATGGTGATAATGGCGCCGAGGAAGCAGCCAAGGTTGTAGGAGGCGACGGCAATACCCTGGTTGGTAGAGCGCATGCTCTTGACGTGAGGAAGAAGGTCGGCCTCTTCGGGGTTGATGGAAGGGAATTGGGACTGGAAGGCAGGCAGAGTGAGGATACCACCAGTGACACCCTGGTCTGGATGAGAATGTCAAGTTAGTCCCTGTTGTCTGGCCGCTTCGGAGTCAAGTCCGCGATGTGAAGTTGGAACCTACCATATCCGAAAAGCAAGAAATCACATCCTGCGATAATACTGATGGCCCAATTAAGGCTCTTGCCTCTGAGGCCGAAGTAGTTGAGCTTGCCCATCTTGGAGACTCTTTCACAGCGGACAGTATTGGATCGACGTGTTCCAAACAATGTCGAGGGCTGTAGGTCGTAGATCGGTTGGTGAAGAGAATTAGGATGAGTCGAGATGAGAGGTAACAAGAAGATCAGATGCGAATTGAGATGGCGAACGTGTCGACCTTATAGATGAAAATCCCAAACCTACCGCGACAGGGTAAAGATCGGCATTGTCAGCGCGACCGCCAGGAATTACTTCTTTCTCCTCACCACTCACGCTCATACCACAAGACGCAAGTACATGCCCGAACCTGCACTGACATGGTAACATGGCTACTCGTGCCAGCCTCGGACCCTGGCGTTGGTGCTGTTTACACCGAACCCAGAAAACCCCAAGTAGCCAATCCCCAGCCGTCCCACGAAAGGCTGCCCCGATTTCCCCCAATCCCCGTACGATCCAAGATCCCTCTGGAGGGGAGGGGACATTCTCCGACCTTGAGGAGGGGGGTAACGACTCCACATCCGGTTCCACGGGGGTGGACAATGGGGGCCCGAGGGGAGGACACAAAGAACGGTTGGTGACATGTCGTCAGGTCCGGCCAAGACGCCGTCATGGAACGCGCGGGGCCGCTTGTAGCCAATACGGCGCCGGGAAGGGTAAGAATTTTGCGGGTTCGTACATTACAAGACGTTGCAATACGGTGGCTTCACCGCTCTGAGACGCGAACACTCGTGGAGTTCCCGTCCTATCGCGCGGCAGAATTCGGAGAGACACCGACGCGAGAATGGTACCTTTGCCATCACGCCCGTGCTTGACCAAAGGATAAGGCAACACCACTGCGAAAGCGGAGCAACGAGTATCCAAAAGAGCCGCAATTGTGTCCATAATCGTACATTGTCGGTGGAGTTTAGATGGAGAAGTACTGGAGACTACGACGTCATACCTTGAAGACTTTGATAGCAGACTGATAAGTAATGCAAGAGAAAAAGTACCTCGAGACTCGACAGTGCCCTTTGTGCATCTCACATCTAAACTTGGGCCAATACCGTTGGCTCAGTTAGACTTGGGTTGGAACTATTCCTGTCCGAGCGGCGCCGTCTGCGAGTCAGGGGGCCCTGTGCGAACCCTGCGGCAACCTTGAGCCGACCACCGCCGCCCGCCCCCCTCGAGAAGCGCCGAGGATACGGGACTTGGCCAGAGGAGGAACTGAGAAGGCAGGGTAGCATCGTAACCGCTGAGAGCGCTTGCAGCTGCGGATTCTGACTCTCAATTGTCTGCTCGCCCGGCCATTGTGATCTCTCTCTTTGGCCACTTTGGCAGATTAAGTTGGACCCGCGGTCGTGGGGACGACAGGCGACAGAACCAGGTTTCAAGTTGAAAAATACTCGCACACGATTTGTCAATGTCGGCAGTTGTTGGTAGCAAGGTGCGTCGAGATTGGTGGACCACATGACGTACTGGTTCAGGCTATATTGATTTCTGGAGGTTAGACTTTAGTTTTTGTTTTGTCTTTTTCTCCGACTCGTGATTCCCATGTCGCTTTGGAGTAATTAACCAGATGCTGAACCGAGCACATGTCGTTAGGATTCTAAAAGCTTGACTAGATGCTAAGAATAAGCACTACAAGCACAAGCCTTGACAAGACGATTCGCGGGCATTGGCAGCTCTGCCAATGTTCTTGTCCATTGCTTGTCCAACGTTTATCCCTTGGTATTGTGAATCCTCATTTCTTGCGGCCTCTAGTCTCCAAGACCAAT